GGGCCCCGCCTCACCCATGCCCCAGACGGGCCCCCGGCAAATTTAGGTGGGAAGATGCAGGGCCCCGTCCAGGTAAAGACCGGGGTGGGGCCCCGGACGGGGGCGGGGTGGGGAGGACTGCCACAATACCGCCCCCGGGCCCGTGTAATGGCGGGGCCCAAGAGGGCAAACCCCGCCCTGCCCCGCCCCGTAACGAACACTACCCACACTTTTCCATTCCACATATCCTAATAGAGTCCTCTCAGACCATGCTTTATCAATGCAATTACATACTAGAAAGTAGTTTTTTCTTCCGTACAATTGTCAATTTCTTTGATTGTTCAAAGTCATAACATATGTATCACTCCTTTAAAGTCCTATTACTTTCCACAATATCTTCCTTTTCACCTTTCTAATCTCACAAGTTATAGAGGTGGTATTATTCTCTTCTCACTTTGAATAGGTTTCTTTTGTTGTTATTTTTCATGGAATAATATGATTTTTTGCTGTTGGCTGCCAGTGTTGTATTCATGTCCGACTTCTAGATGTTTTACGTTACCGGTAGTCTTAGGGCAAATCTGTATGTTCACCGACCTTTCCCCCTACCAAGGAAAATGTAGTCCAGGGAATCAAAACAGTAATCTGGTATTGGATTTGGTTGGCGGGAGTCGATTTGGAGCCTTGGCAAAGTATTGGCAATCCTCAGATTTTGGTCGATACACTGGCCCAGCCTCAAATGGACAAGCTCTCACTAGGGAATTTCCGGGTGACCCGGGAGCCCAGCCTCTCATATGATATGATAAAACTGCGCAGATTCTCCGAGATCGGAGATCCGGGGCTAATTTTAGGCTGAACTTGCCACTTATTCTTCGGACCGTGCAGGTTAGAAACGCAGTCATCTCAAGTGCTTGAAAGCATACTTCGAGGGGAAGGGATACCGAAGGAACCACGGGCTGTTGACCACAATCCTCTGTTTGGCCTCTGTAGCACACTCTACCTTCCAAAAAGGACGGAAAAAAGCCCGCAGAGCGGATTCTGCAAGTGGCAGGGGTTACCCGGTGATGGGTTGAATCGGTGTCTCATGCTTGAAGGGGAAGGTATTTGGGTGTTGCCATTCCAAGTGCCCGAGATGGTAAAAGGGTGCTTTTAACGTCACTCTGTCCCGAACCAGCAGAAAAATAAGAATAGGTGAGATTCCTAGGGGACTTAGGGTGCTCTCCCATGAGCTCCGATATCCCGAAATACCGGTACTGTGAACCACCCAATCCGGAGCCCATATTCTCTAGCCCTCCGTTCCGAATACGGAAGCGGAAAAAAAAAATAGAATCAGTACCTCCAAATCCTGCCGAATATCATAATAATACCCCCTTCTAGTCACTAAAGGACACAGAAGTGACATCCCTACAAGGAAGGGAGGTGCAACATGGTGGGTACGGAGAGGTCGTCAGGCGCAGGCAGATGATCCAATTTCGGGGCAGGTTGGATGCAGGGAAGGACGCTGGAGGTGGGTTTCTAGAGACCTTCCCCAGTATGAAATAAGGCCCTCACGGTCATCCAAGAAAGATCGGGGAAGGTAGCGAACTGTGTAGCATAAGGCTGGTAAATGTTGTTATCTATACTGAAAATGGTGAAAACTAATGATATGACGGCAAGCGTATACACACCCCTAAGGACAGAAATAAACAGGAAAGCAGCAGCGGTAAAGTGATTTCGAAGCCGTAGAGGTCCAATTTTGGTCCAGATGGTGATGGTCCCGGCACCTGAATGGTGGGACCACGAAAATTGCCCCGGGTGCGGCCGAGGAGAGTCCACTATGGAAGTTAATCAGACACAGCTTAAGCTGAACAACCAAGCTGTCTGATTGAAAAACCTCCCCAGAAGAGTATCGATGAAGCATACATAAAATCTTGCAACCATTGCTGCTGTCCAAACCTGTTCGCCGGTTCGTAGAGCATCCGGTGACACCGATTGATACGTATCGATACGTATCTTGGCGTCAAGTGGACTAAACACTTTATAATTATGCACGCTAAGTTACGGTACATCTCTACGGCGACTATCGAGCTCAACCTCTTTACTGTAAAACAACCCAGGAACACGCAGAAAGAACCTATTTCATAATAAGCAAGAGAGTCCCCCCCGCCGCCGCCGCAGTTCCCAAACCATTGTTTGGCAGCCTTCGTTTCGGGAACAAGGAGCTGCTTTTTTCATTTTGGGCCTGGGTTGATTGTCCAGAACGAGCGTGGATTTCTCATGAGCATCTTCCAATTTGAATGTTGAGCTCAAGAACGCAAGTGTGCATAGCCAATGTTATGGCAAATTGCATGAATTCAGCGCCCATCATAACGGCGCGGGAATGGCGCTCAAGCACATTGCTGTGAATTACAAGGGAGAGTGTTTTCCGGGGCGGGGGTGGGAGTGGGATAGGTGTTGGGATTGTGAAGTGTTGGATAGGCTTTTGATATTTAGTTTTTCTGGGCGGTGGTGTTACATTATGTGGTGTGAGCGATGCTGTAAGTTAGGTGCTCCGGTAGGGGAATAGTACCGTGTTGTGTTGTTGGGTTGTTGTCCCGGCGGGATGAGGCGGGATGAGGTAGGAATTGGGATGCAATGACGCTGTGGCTGCCTCTATCTCAACTCGGACCAATTTTGCATCGTTACCAATGTAATTTCCTTAAAGAACTGAAGGATTTAATAAAAAAAATCATCGTTACCGATATAATAAACTTTGATTAGGAAGCTCGATGTATTCGTACAGTGCCTAGTGCCTTCATCCGTATCTATAGCCGTCACTACCGGTACTCCCGTTACCGGTTGATCCCAAGATCCAACCCTCCATTTCCATATTATAAACCCCCGATACTGGCACTGCTCCTTCAAATCAGGCACCATTCCCGAGTCCCAGGAACTGGCAGCAAGGAACAAGTGCGCCCAACATCACAAGGTTAAAATATTGACCAATAGTGTTTCGTATCGCCATGCTAAACATCACCGCTTACCACCGGGACTGGATAGATAGGTGCCTGAGGAGTTGCGCTATGATCAACTGACCCTCTTGAGTGAGGAAGGAGTTTGTTGGATATAACTTGACCTAACCAGAGCGCCTGACCTAACTTGCGGAGCCATCAGAAAATGGAGCCTCACGTGGGCCGCCTACGTATGAGGGATGAGATGAGCGATGGCGGTAAGTTTTTAGTTTTTCTACCGGGTCGCGGTGAGTGGAGCCCGACATAATTGCCTCTCCTGCGTCGCTCAATTCGAGAAGGTAACCAATTCAATTCAGTAAACCAAGAGGAAGAGGGAAAGAAGGGAGACACAGTAGCGTATAGGGCAGCCGTGATGGCAGATTAATTGATAGAGAAAGATACCGCACAGCACGGTGGAAACCTCTTGTTGGACTTGTGATTGGTTTCAAAAGGTTGATCACCTGGTGGACAGGGGTCGCTAAGTTGTTGGATCAGGGGCAGTGGCAATGGAGTTGACAGGATGATCTTCTCTCTTTGACCTACCGTTACATTGTGACCGTTGACCCAACGCCAACACACGTAACGTCACTCCCTCCCGGTACATTGTACTTATATTAGTATTGTCACTCTTGGTTCAGGGGGTCGGCCGCGCGGGCCTTGGGGCCCTTCGTGTGACCTACCACCCCTACCGTCCCAACTGCAGGTCAATTAGGGCCTCGGTTTTGGACTCCGGACTCGTCACGCTTTGTTATAAGTGTGGGTTGAGAGTGCCGGGCTCTGCGGATAAACACGAACTATTGTGGACCCCCTCGTTGGTGTTTTCTTTTCTTTTTCTAACCTGGGTGGGTACTCGAAAAATTCCTTATTTCCACCGTCTCCTGAAGGTCCCCAATCTCTGCAATTGAAAGCTAGGAAGAAAAATGTTCCCCAGATGCGGCATTGCCCCCGCGGAGCTGAGCTTGCGGGATCTCGTTAATTGGTATGGTATCCGTTATTCTACTGATCCGCTCAATTAACCCTACCCCGGTCTAGGGCGGTACTTCCCGCCGAATAGTCTGATGGCGGGTTTAACCAGATTCTACTGCACCATTGTCCTGAAGCCCTCCCTCATCATTACTTGCCCCACCCAATACCGGCAGCTTACAGGAAGGAAGAGCAGAAGGAAGTTTCGACTGGATAATTTACTAAGCGGAAGACTCGAGGTGTTGATGATGTTGTGTTCACTGCGTGTATCCTACCGGTATCCGTTCCTCATCGGTGTCCCAGTTGATCGGTTTATCCTCCGTAGCCGAATATTCCTGCAGTAGTTTTCAAGTGCCTTTCTCCACCCCCACCAAAAGCAAACGGGAAAAATATCTTTACGATATTACCATAACATGATAGGTAGTGAGATAGACAAACTTATCATCTCAGCATCAAACCTGTGTGCCGGGCCAACTAACGCCCCTGGCTCACCTGGGGCACCTCACAAGTATCCTGCTTATTCCATCCAACATATGGCCCGAGCCAACCCCTGCGTATGGCAACCAGGACAGAGTGTTGGTTGGTTCCTGGCGTGACCTGCGTGACCTTTATACTTCTTTGTTGCTCCGGGCACGATTGCGGGTTCCCTTAGCCTTGGGATACTACCGCTATTGGGCCCGAGATACCCGTTTGGTCTGGCACCTGCTTAAACACGCTTCCTTGGGCGGGAGTGCACTATATGTTGGGGTTGCTATGGAGTTGCTGTTGGTGTACGGATTAGAGTATGAGCATCTGCCGTAGGATAGGGCAGTTCGAGCGATATTTCTCTCTGGTAGGGCGCGCGAAATTGGAGAGATAGAGGCGGAAGTAGGGATATAGTGGAGGGAAGGAGAGAAGGATATAAAGACCGCATATACCATCCTTCTCAAAATTCCCGAATGTCCAGTGTCATCCTCGCGGCTCGCGATACCCTTCTCGTTCTTGCACCCACAGCTGAACTGACCACACCGACTCCATTGCCTGTCGAATCGCTAGAGATATATATTCAACATGTCGATCGTCCGCAAGAGCGTGCAGACCTTCGCCATCTGCTGGGAGCTAGCACGCTTCCACACTAGTGAGTCCTGTTTGGAGTGGTTCGCGGCAAGTATGGTGTCCCTTTCCAGCCATCACCGGTACATATATTTACTCCTTTGAACCTGTGCACTGACGCCAAGTAGTGTGGGGTGCATGCTTTGCAGCAGGAGACTCTAAGGAACCGTTAGACTCATACGAGGCGATAAAGAAACTAGCCGGAATCTGGCTTTGTATGACAGTAGTCCATGGAGCCTGGTGTACGGGAAAGTAAGTTCAACTCCCTACTACTATTTCCCTATTGTAATACCAAACTCGGTGATCTACACTACTCCCTGTACCAGAGAAAATGCTTAATCATCCGGCTGCCGCCTTAACCCTACATTAATTCTTACAACCACAGTAACTAACTTAGCCTAATTAGTGATATCATAGACCGCCACGTTGACGCCGGCGTAGAACGCACCAAATACCGTCCCCTCCCATCGGGCCGAATCTCAGTACAGGGAGCCTTACTCTCCTGCGCCCTCCTTACCGCCCTCGCCTCGGTGCTCACGCACTACTGTCTGGGATGGGACACCCTATTGCTGTCGATCCCAATGTACTTCCTCAACGCGATATACCCGTATATGAAGCAACTGATCCCCTGGCCGCAACTAGTGCTCGCACCAGCGGTGGGTTGGACTTCGTTGATCGGGTGGGCGGCCATGGCCGGGAACCTCAACGATCTGGAGAAGTGCATTCCGCTGTTCCTAGCCACTAGCTGCTGGACGCTGTATTATGACACTTGTTACGGGTCTCAGGTAACTAGTCGCTTCTATATATACATACTGCCAAAGGTACTTGAATGCCTAAGTAATGATGACATCAACAGGACGCCGAAGAGGATAAGAAAATTGGCGTAAAGTCACTCCCACTCTGGCTGGGCACCAGCATCCACCCATTCCTGGCCTTCCTGGGGATCCTCATCATCGGGCTTCTCTGTCTCTCTGCGCACGCGTCTAACGTCAGCTACATTTTCTGGACCTTTGCTATTGGCGTGTGGGCACTCCTCATTCCGTACCAGATTGCTCAGCTGGACCTCAAGGACCGAACCTCCGGTGGGAAGATTTTCAGGCAGAATATCAAGTTTGGCAAGTACGTCACCTTGGTTGCATTCGTTGAGCTGGCTTATCAGAGTTTCTTTTCGAAATTTTGAAAGAGGGATGTGGTGATGGTGCAGGCGGAGTAAGGAGGGGAAAGGTCTCGTATGAGGGAATTACGTTTATAAGCCGGTGGGGGTGGGAAGTGGAGGCAAGGAGAGGGCTGGGTTGGAATTGGATATAGAATATTGGGAGGTGGATCCGGGGAAGGGGGTGGGTTGGATCATGGGAACGAAACAGTCACGATAAGAGTAAAGCGATCATGTGGATTGGAGGCTGATCGATTTTTTCTTTTTCCTTGCCTCTCTTCCTTTTACTTCTTTTTCCCCTCTGTCTCTCGCGTCTTTATTCTGTTTTGCTCTTGGGGTGTAGGTTGTATGGGACATCACGGATCAAAATAAATCGTTCAAGTGAAACTCTACGGTATCATACTAGAAGTCAGTGCCGGTACGTGCCTACAAGACACCAAAATGCATGCGCACGCGCTTGGGAAGCGAGAAATTACTACGAGCAAAAAAAGGCGGTGACGAGGAGCCATCCGCTCGGCTTAGGCTAAGAAGGTGTCGGTCCACTCGAGTAAGACATAAATTAGGAAGAGGCCATGACTGAACCATAGTCGCGATTTCGCGAACCGGGTAACGGATCAGCATACCCCCCAACCTCGTCTACCCCCGAAGCTACTCGGGTGCACGGGTAGAAGTGCAAACTACGAGTAGAGGTGCAAGCCAGAGGTGGGAGCCAGGACTAGTCCAGCCCAGAGGGATTGAGGAGGAGGTGAAGGAACTAATTTGGTCAAAGGTTAACCAGACGTCGATAGGGCCAGCCATAAAACCAGGGCTCCGGCATCTCGGCAGCGCTGTCAGCCCGACCCGGAATCTCCAACCCACGAGGATGTGAGGGATGGAGAGGAGGAGGGCCCCACACCCTCGTCAATCTGACAAGTCATACTTCAGAATACGCATAGCACCGGTTCAGTGCTGAAGGGAGGAGGAAGGGTGATGGGAGGGAACACTATACCGGTGTTACCCAAATCAGGATCCCACGAGGGAGACATGTCACCTACCCAGCAGTGTACAGTACGTCAAAATGCTGTGATACCATGAACGTGTTTGTCCCTCTACAGAATCGATGCATAGCGCTCATCCGTGGCGCATGCACAGTATCATTCGGCGACCAGAGCTGTGGAATCCACAGTGGAGGCTTTTGGTATCGTGGCCACCTGGGGCTTTTTCTTTTGCAGAGGGGAAATATGTGCGAGGTTGTGCCAGGTGGGGTGCATGGCCGAGTGTATTGAGAGGTTGAAAGATGAGGAGATGATTAGTATTATAGCAATAGCCACCAATGTTTACTTCTTCCCTTGACGTAAATACTAGATTTGGCGTGCTGTAATCGAAGTTGAATCTGCGATATATGCAGAGGTCTTTCGCCTTTTTCTGCCACCAAAAAAGAAAGGAAGAGCAAGAGAAAGAAAAAATGAATTATGACATGAGGTATTTGCTAGAGCCGCAGTAGCAGTATACGGTAGATGCAGTAAGCCTTGGCTAGCCTTTTTCGAGATATCGGAATGACTAGAATGGAAGTCTGAAAGGGAAGGATAGAGGAAGCTATGATAGTTGTGCGTACTAGGTGGACAGCTAGCTACGCCTTTTACTCGCCTTGCTCTGAGGCAGTGCAAGGGTGGTACTGTTCTGGGTCTTTTCAAATGCATTGTAGTGCATATGTGTGGTTCTCCATCCAGCCTCTCTCGCTAAAGTCTTTTACTGTCATATAGGGCAATGTTGTGGAGATGTCTCAATGCCACGAGAGGCAGAGTCGTATAGTTCCGGCCGTAGTTCCGTACAGTCCGCCGAGGTTTAGATGTAAAGAAGGAATGGAAGGAAGCAAAAGAAGGAATTGCAAGACATACAGGTACCAGCCGGGTGCGGTACCCTCGACGGATTGGGACGCGAAAAAAGCATAAATAAATGGTTGGGCGGTAACAGGTTGCACGACAGGCGAGGGAAAATTGCACGTCTACCACATGGATGTAGGGATCGAGCTGATGTTCCGATGATGAGAAGAAAGAAAAATCCAAAAGCGAGCTAGGGAAAGAGGAAGCAAGAAAAAAATGAAAAAAATGAACTAAAATGGAAGAGAGATAGTATCATACGAGATCTTTTTCTCCCAACCCACCCTAGCCCATCCTTTGAGATACCAAAACAAATACGAGTACTTTACCAGAGTACGGTACCCGAGTACAAGTACCCACTGCCGTAGCAACCGCACATAAGTTGCCAGTTTATCCTCCTCTTTTTTATTTTATCCTATCTTAATGTCTCACTCCTCATAATACCGGTAAGTTGTCGAAAAGGGAATTTCCTTGCGGAAATCATCTGTATGGTTGTCTTTAATCCAAGTATTGGAAACGCGTCCATAGTTCGCTCTTACAATATGCACGAGTATTCTCGGTGGGCTAGGGATTTACTTCCGATTGAAACACTGCCGCCCCAATGGGCTCTTTTGCTGTGGCTATACGGTTCTCGCATTCACCCCCCCCCCCCCCCCTTCCCCTCCTTTCTGTCATCTCGTTTTGTGTTGAATGATACTAATATTGCGTTGTCGGTGAGAGTTCCCCTCTAGCTTGCTTGTAAAGTTCTAGACATTTCTTCGATGAGACATATTCAACCCTTTTTTCGTACCATAGACAACTGTCAAGTTGTTGGTGGCTAAAGTTAGCCAAAGCATATTCCTACCGGGTAATCATTTTCTGATTAATTATGTGAGAAAAGCACGTTTCTTGCGCCTTCGGATCAACTCTCCCCCCCGCTGGGGCACAGCACCTGTAAACCTGTGAGGTAATGCAAGGGCTCAGGTACTCGTACGTACTGTACCTGGCACCCCCCCGTGTGATAGAAATGTTTCCGACGGTTTTACCATAACTCGGGAATTCCTAGCAGAGAGGGCGCAGGAGGATAGAGCAGAGCTAACCTCACACTCTCTTCTCACATAACCTCACCAAACTATGACACTGTAACCCCACTTTTCCCTACCCCTATCACGCGTGCTGTTCTAACTATGATACAAGTACGGTACCTCAGGTTGGCGCAGTGAAGTAAGGGGAGAGCGAAGAGGGAGGGGGGGGGGGGGGGAGGGGGAAGGCTAGGCTGGTTACGAGTACATTAGTAACCTTGTAGGCGATGCTCGGCGCAATAATTGTAATACCGGTAGCACTTTTTATACCCAGGTATACCGGTGGTGAGAACAGGAATTTTTAGCAAAAGAGAAAAAAGAAAAAATGAGTCGCTTCCCGTGTTCCTTCCAGAACGCGTGGGGGGTTTGGCGAAAGAGATGGAGGTAAGCCCCCGCACATGGCAATTTCCCCCAGACACACCTACTCGCCTACTTGGAGCTTCTGCATGGCATCTGTACCAATCTGCCAAAACCGGCCCCCAGGCACACCGAAAACACACCTCCTCACTTGTCGCGGGTACCCATTTCTCTTCCAAAATAGCTATAGGGTGAACGAGAAAGGAAGCGGTAAGCGCCATCATCGGCGAGTCTGTTTCTTCAATGTGTTCCTTTCTTTTTGGTACCTTCCCCTGTTATACCCTTGTAACTTAGCAGACACTTCCACCAAGCCCGTACTAGCGCCTCCGGTAGTTTACCAAGATACTGTACTTTGCAAAGTCCATAGGTAATCGTATTTCTCTACTTATAAGACTACCGGTATAATACTTCCCCACTTGTTTTCTTTTTCAAATAAGCCATCCTTCCTTTCTAGAGTGGAAGAAGACGCCAGCGCTGCCCCACAGACATCACATCTACAGTCGTGAGTTTACACCACATCGGAATAGGACCACACTACGCACTTTCTCCACCCTTCTTTTATTTCTTGGGGTCAAAAAAGGAAATCCGATATCCGTGCTTACCGTGATGGGCGTCCTGAATAAAAACTCCACGAAGAGCCCCAGATCTCCAGTTTCAAGAATTCGTCCGTTCCCACCATCCCGCCGGATCTTCATCTACTATCTCGCCCTACTCCCCCTCCCTCTCCTTATTCTCCTCTTTCTCACAAAGGAGGATACTCATCCCCCTCCCCCTCCCCCTCTCCCCTCTTCTCCCCCGCTCACCTTCTACCTTCGAACTCCCGACCTCGAAGCCATGAGGATCCACGCGCTCTCACTGCTCGGTATAGGCTGCGCTCTCATCAACGTAGCCCACTCAGCAGCGGTCGCTTTGGTACCCAGACAAACATCTTCCCCGGAAATAATCCCAGAGATCACTGAATTCGTGGATTCGCTTTCTCTGGCACCCGGGGATGCCAACGAGGTAGCCACAAAGCTGAACGAGAGCGCTGTAGCTTTAAACTTGACCAGTCCCCCACCAGAAGCGAAGCTGCGCAAGCGGAGCTCCGTACTCGCAACCAATCTCGCCTGCTGGATAATTCAGTTAAAGTTTGGCACAAACTCTTGCGAAGAGGGAAGTACGCCATATACTACCTTAAGTACTATGAATTGGTTTGTTTCTGCCTTCTCTTGGTGTGTTGGGGGAGCGTTTTCCTTGAGTGACAGGCGTGCTGATCTTGGATTTGTGCGCTGTGTGCAGGTCGAAGACATGCTGGCTTAAACCGAGATGTATCGTTTCGCCAAATTCAGCTCTACAAGTCTCCATCGCCATGAAAATTATCGACTTCCTCAATGTGAAGTACTCAGTGCGCAGCGGTGGGCACACCCCGAATCCCGGGTACGCCAATTCGGATGGGGGCGTGCTCATGGAATTGTCGAAGCTTCGGGCCATGTCTTTAAGCTCCGATGGGACCGTAGCAAGTATCGGTCCTGGCCTCACATGGGTTGAAGTTTACGATTACCTCGCGCAGAGGGGCACCACCGTCCTCGGTGGGAGAATCCCACAAGTAGGTGTTGGCGGTTTGATCCTAGGTGGAGGACTTTCCTTCTTCGCGAATCGGTACGGATTGGCCTGCGACAATGTTAAAAGTTTCGAGGTACGTGAGAAATTTAATGCAGGGGTGACGATCGGAAAAGAAAAAAAAATCGAAATAATTTTTCTTCCCGTTTATGTTCCGCCACAAATTGGGCTGAACTGAGACTGATCGGTCCACTTTGCTGGTTTTAGGTTGTCAACCCCAATTCTACCATTCTAAACGCGAACGCCGCACAGAACTCGGATCTATTCTGGGCGCTAAAGGGCGGTTCCGGCAACTTTGGGATCGTGACCCGCTTCGACATGTACACTCGTAATGATCTCGCACAAATCTGGTACGAGGTTCGAGTATATGCAGCAGACAAGACCCCAGAACTCCTTGATGCGATAGAGAACTTCCAGTTGAACGGTGAAGCAGACACGAAGGCCGGCTTCGTCTTCAGCGCAACGACCGACGTGACATTGGTTGGCTACGTTTACGGCGGCGCCGTCTCCTCCCCGTCGGCCTTCTCAGCTTTCTACGACATCCCCTACCTGGCGCACTTCGCTCCTCCTACCATCGGAACTCACCACCAGCTCGTCGCCTCCCTCTCAGGCGCCTTCTCACCCGTCCCCGCCCGCCATGACTACCGTGCCGCGAGTACCGGTGTCAATGCTACAATGTACAAACTGGTCTATGATTTCTGGAAGGCCAAGGCGCTCGCCATCAAGGCTGCCACTGGAGGTGACGCGGACATGTCCTTCTCAATCCAGTCCTTCTCCAAGAGCGCTGTAGATTACGGGTATAGCACTGGTGGAAACACCCTCGGCCTCGTCAGTCAGACGCAGCAATGGTTCACCATGCTCGTGGACTGGACCAACGCTGCTGACGACGTCGCTGTTCGCGCGGCTGCCAAGTCCGTCACGGACAAGTGGAGTGAGGTCTCTAATGCTATGGGATTCGGAAATCCGTACCTTTACGCCAACGACGCTTCCAGGGACCAGAACCCTCTCACCAGTTATCCCCCTGGGAATATCGCACAGATGAGGACTGTCAGCCATAAGTACGATCCCAAGCAGATTGCCCAGATCTTGCAGAACGATGGTTATCTACTGTCCAAGGTCCCCTAAGCTCTCAGGCCGTCTATCTGTGTCTCTGTATATTTGTGCATGCGTTTCCTCTCCTTCATGTTCACCCGTCACAAAGTATATAAGCCGTTTTTTTGGGGGGGGGTCTTGGTGTTTCCGGTAGTTTTTGCTTTTTTTATATTTCTATGTTTATTTATCTGTTTATTACTTATCCGTTTCCATTTCTCCTTGGTCATTAACGTGCTCCTTAGCTTTTTTCCTTCCTTTTTTTGTGTGAAAAAGGTTACTGGACTGCTCTGTTGGCCCGCTCCCACCCATTTGTAATATTCATCCTCCCGTTTTGTGTTCTTGTTTTTTTGTTTTTTTTCGCCCTCAGGTTCGCTACATATTGTGTGTAATGGTGCGGGGAAGTGCCGCAATTTAGAGTGGAGGAGGGGAGGCAGTGGGTTGGGTTTGGGGAAGGATATATCGAATTTGGATGTATTTAGCTGCTGCCTCACTGTAACTTTTTAGCTGGATGGTTTCTGGTTTATAGTGGTCGGCTCCGCAATAAAGCGAGAAGCCATCTGGCTATCCATCACAGCCTATCATAAACAACTGAACGATTTTTTCGATTCAAGAAAGCCATACAAGTAGTTCCAATGGTTCGGGTTGACTCTCCCCCTATTTTTGTACTGCACTCGGATATGTTCCATTTGTCATAAAGTCCATTTCCTGAATGGCTTGAGAGACTTCCAGCTTCCAACTTGAGAGCCGTCAAGATATCCAATCGATCCGATAATTCACCTTCAACTTGAAAAAAGTATGATAGAGCAGAGAGAGACTGCCCTTTTGTTTTGTTTTTATTCTCCACTTCCACGTTCTGTCTCCACCCCCCACCCGGTTGGACCGGCACCCGCAGTCCCCCAAGTATGGTAATGGCATCTACATACAACGTGGCATTCCCACCATCCATGCACACTGGCACCACCCCTCACACCCTCATCCAGAAAATCCGAGAATCAATAAATCAGCCATTCAGACCCTCCCCTTCTCCTCCTCTCAGACCTCCCTTGGACCCCACCCCACATCCCACACACATACTCGAACACATACTTGTACGGTACGGTACTCGAGTACGAGCATAGCTCTATTCTCTCACACACTCACAGACCCATCTGCTCCCAGCGTCTCAACGCAACGGGAAGATACGGCACGAACACTGTAATATCACATCTAATAATCACTGCAAAGAAATACTCGTACACACCCGCAGCAGTGCGGTATCAGTACGGCACGTGCCTGGCAACAAAAGAAACCCACCTCCCCGTTTTCCATACAAAACACCAATTTTCAATTAGGTGCCAGAAGCAACCACAACGAATCCTGTGCCCCAAACCCCGACGATGCGGTAGACATCCATATGGAGTTGATGTTGTAAATTTTTCAATTTTTTATTAACAGTCTTTGATGCCAATACAGAGAGACATGAAACCAGATTGGGCTGCTGCTACGCAAGACCCTGTACAAATTGACTGTCTTGGCACAGATTTCGACCCCCCACTTAGGACATAGAGTTTCGGTTTTTGTAGAACAAGTCCTACAGCCTAGAATTCAGCTGTATGAGTCTCTAGGTTGGAATCTCTGCGGAAGGATAGGATCAAATCTTTCTCATTATTTGCTGCTAGATAGGCGCGTATTGAAAACCGGTGTTTCGTACGGAAAAGAACTGGTGGTGCATTTGTTTTGTTTCCAGGCTCCTACTTTAATTAGACGATACGGTGCAGGTACAGACTCGGATACAGGGCATCAAGGGTAAGTCTGTTGAACCCCTCCGGTTCATTGTCTCTCGACAGCCTAGAGAACGGGGATTCTCTCTCCAGCCGCTCTTCCCCGATGACTGAGCCAAAGTTCAACAGACTTCCAGTACGTTCACATCCCAAGTACAGCGAAATAAACAAATACTGGGGCACATGGCAATAAAGCACCACAGAAAAATCTGGGCTATCTCGTCGCACTGCACGAGTACTACGGAGTGGTGCACTCCCCCAAGCTCGCTAGCCCAAGCGAACCGCCCTCCCTCCCTCCTATCAACCCCCCCACTCCATCCAGACCGGCATCATCCATCCCGCAGCGCCAACCGAATTCCCCACTACCGTGCTGTCCACCAAACCCCAAGCAAAAAGAAAAGAAGTACACAAGTATGAGAGAGAAAACGTCCTCGCATAGCGCAAGCCTCGGCACCGCACCGTTACACAGGGGTAATTCCGCCACTCTTCGGTAGAAGTACGGTAGGCCCGCCTAGGTGGTGGGGACACTCACAAGAACCTTTCTTGGCAGGTTCTTAGCATTATCGGTATTTGAAAAATGACTACCGGTATCTCTAGACTAACCTTGGGCAGGAAAGTAACCATTCCATATGACATGATTAGTGCCCTCATTACTGTACTTGTACCGTACTTGCACTAGTACCGGTACATGGGTCTGCATCATTAGCGTGATTTCGATCCGGCCTTACCAGATTTGTGTGTTCAAATTAGCGACCTGCCATACAGTAGTCTGTCTACAAATTGAGAACACCTTCAGCTGGGCCAAAACACATTATTTTCCCATTGAATCAACGAACCTCCCTCCCCCAACCAACCTTTCATCGACCCCCACCGATAGTGCTGTACAGTCCAACCCTTCGCCCTTGCCGTCGAAACTTGATGAGACTCCCGTTGAAGGGGTTTTTGTTGCAGGACCTCGGAGTGCCCACTATCACACCGTACCGCAAAAAAAAACCCCCCCGGGAGGAATTAAGGATACCCTGCCACCGCCCAAACAAAACGCAACCCGGTCAGCCCGCTCCTGCGCAATTCGATCCCGGGGTCATCACCACCCCCAATCACAGGGGTCTATTTACAAGTACGAGTGTACTAGTACTAGTACCGTAAGGTTTGTGATACAAGTACTTGTATCGGCACGGTGCGATGCCTGCGAGGAGCAAATGGTTTCCGGAAATCTTGGAGTTTTTTTCCTTTCTTTTTTTTTCTCTCTTTCCTTCTTTCGTGGGCCTGAAATGCGCCAAGGTTTCGATTCTAGCAGGTGCACTCGGGTGAGGCTCGGGAAGAAGAAAAGGGTTTCATTTTCGGTTTTTTTTTGTTATTCTGGCGGCTCCCGCTACGGTAATTTACCCACGGATAAGGGCTAGCTAGCGCCAAGACGCGACCAGCCGTCCCGAGTTCGGAACGGAGATTTCGCAATCAGAGACATGTACGAGTACTCGAGTACTCGTGCGGTTTGATGGGTGGCAGGGAGGCGAGTGAGAGGCGAGGGAGGCGTGAGGGTCTTTTTTGGCTATCCGAACTTAACAGATGGTCACAAGGTTAGTGGTATCTAGATAACGATTTGACTCCACCACGAGAAATTTCTACTTGTACATGATTGACCACCTTAATTTCTTTCTTCTCCTTCCCTTCCTGCCATCGAAACCAGAGAAGCAGAGGTGGCGGGTGAGAGGGTACTTTGGAAGTGTCTTGGCGGTAATTAATCTACCCGTACAAAAATCGCCCGCGATGTACCGGTATGCGTGGTCCTAATTTTGTGTTTAACAATAACACCCCCATTTCTAGTTAGTCCCTGGAGGCCTGCCATGGTAGGTGTGACACAAGCAAATCTTTCTGCTATTACGAGCATCGTACCGTACCCTCGAGTTGATGCGAAAGTCCCGTTGTGCCGCCTAAGGTTGAGAGCAAATATTTGGCAATGCAGCGTGCCAGTATTTCCATCACCGCCACCCTGCCACGGTACGGTATATACCATTCCATCCGCGAGGACATACCAAAGGGTCAGGCTCCAACCCCAGCATAACAGAGTCTGGAAGCTCTGCGAAGTTAGGCTTATCCGTGGCACCTAAGCTCTCCGGATAAGTTCGCCGCAGGAGTCTCTCCACTCCTCGAGTAAGGGAGTCTGTGCGGATTCGGTGCTCGACGATATGATAGGGTGATTAATGTCTCGCCTCGTTTTCTTGAGGGATGGTGTCTTACAGTAAGCGCAGAGTTCGCTTGGTTCGGATCGGGGTTGAGTGAGTTTCTACATAATTACGGTATGTCGTTTATGACTTGAAGCGGTGGTGGGTGGCAGGGTGGGTACCGGACGCATGTACTCGTACTAGTACGGTACTGGTGCTAGTACGAGTATGGTACTTCTGTTACACGGCAGCTGGTGACTAAACAGACTAGCACTTTCAAACAAAGTATTGTGCTCGAGTATATACGAATCCGGTAACGCTACAATAGTACCGGTAGTTAGTCCCGGCTGCCGGGTCAGTCGGAAAAAGCTGTCTATTTACAAGTACCGTATGTGATCGCTAAAGTTCGAGGAGACATATACACATACACATGCCATCTCCCTCCATCATCCTCTCGTCTGGGTAAACACCGATACTACACAATACCTGTACAATACCGATCCCAAACCGACATAGCAGACATGAATGAATGAAGAACAAGACTATCAAAACCTTCTTAGCATTCATTATTACATCCTGCTGTCTTAATACCTAAAACCAAAGAAACCAACCAAAACATAGTTAACCCACACCCCGGAAAAGAAAAAAAAAAAGATCCCAACCCAAGCCCAAAATGTATCATAGAACCCCCATAGAAAAAATACACACGCATACACACCAAATACTACAGACACATACCACCGCCCGTCGCCGTCATCGCCGCCTCTCCGACCCCATTTCCTGTTCCGCTGTTAGCAGCCTAAGGCTTCTCAGAAACCCTGACTTCAACAGTATTGGTCTGTACAATACCCGCGGGCATCACAGAATCGGTGGACAAGTCATCACGAACGTCCGCCTTGATAGTGGTGATATGGGAGTGCTTGTTAGGATAGGCACCGGTGTAGGCGCCGCCAACAGCCTCGACATGGAGGAGCTCCATGGAGTCATTGTTGCTGCCCATCTGCTCGCTGTAGGGTCCTGGGCGCTGGACCCCGTGGGAGCGCTTGGTGTCGCTCGGGTCGGTCATGCCGCCGCTACCGCCCTGGGAGAACTTGGAAAACTTTCCGCGTTGGAGGCAGTTATACTGGGTTAGGAGAGGCTTGAGCGCTGGTAGAGAGGCACCGATGATGGCCATGTTGGACTCGAGGAGGGAGGGAACCCAATAAGTCCAGCCGTAACGGTCGAATTGGGGTGGGATGACCTTGCTGAGGGGGTTGGCGGACCCTAAAAGTTTGTGTGTCAGTATGTCCACAGGGAGAAGGAGGAAGGAGGTGATGGAGCTTACATCTTGGGTCGATGTTTGGGTATCTCTTCATTTCGAGGACCCAGAGAGCAAGTCTGTATGCGATTCCGAAGCACGCCCTGTAGTGATCACCCCTCGTTAGTCCTCACACTGCCTCCTAGTCCTAGCACCCAAGGCGAACGTACGAAGCGCCCAACGCGATCAGAGCGCAGACCAAGACCCTCTGACGCTTCTGCATCTTCAACTCCCAAATAGCCTTCAAGGGCAGCACCAAGATGAGGATATCGAATACCAGGCTGACAGAGTACAGGGTGATGTGTAAATTGTAGTAGTAGACGTCGCCACAGTCGGCGTTGCGCTGGAAAGGCTTCCAGAAGGACGACGGGGGCTTGCACATAAAGCCCAGTAGGAATTCATAAGTGACCACGTAGGGGATGGTCAAAAGGATGAGTCCCTTGATGCAGTACTGGAGCGTCTGGTAGGTGGGGCCAATGAGGCGGCGGTAGAAGAGAAGCACTGAGATGCGCACTGTGCTCATCATCACTGGGTAGAGGAAACTACTGGCGAGAGTGCACTGCATCATGTGATGACATTCGTTAGCCAGTGTCGCTCCAATATCTAGAGGTGCTATGGGCAAACCTTGAACCAAAGCTCAAACTGCTTCTCGGAAACCGCCCACAAGGGCCTGCCAATGCCTGCGTTCAAGTCCGCATAACATGCCATGAAGGTATTCACCGTTACGAGAAACTAAGCATGTCAAGAATTAGTCCCGACTCTTTCACTTTCGCCCCCACAAAAAAACCCCGGGTACAGAGCATATATTATGATATCTATCGCCAAGGAGGGGAGCGGGGATTGGGGGGGGAGAAGAGCAATTATTCACCGTCGCAGGAATAACCAGCCAGTCGTCAGCGCCGAAAGTCGAAAACTTCCTACGAGCAAATAACCTCCCACCGACAGCCAGCCATGCCAAGCTCGTAGCAATCAGCGCAAAGATAGTGACATAATTCGATTCCTCCCCATCCCAAGGAGGAAGAAGCTCATCGCCGTTCGTCGTAGCCTCCGGTGCAGCCATTTTTCCCCTCTCTATTTCTATTTCTTATTCCTTCCTTCCTCAAAAAAAGACCGAAATATGCTTAAAAACTGGAAATTGGAAAGCCGGGATCGATATCGTAACTAATTGTCTATTTTTTTCTTTTCCGGGGGGTTTTTTTTGCGAAGAGTCCTAGGCAAAAAAAAAAAAAGGTCGAAAATTGAAAAGTGTTAAAAAAAAAAGACTTCAAAAAAAACTAAAATAAAAAGGGACTTATATCTTGCGAAAACCCTTTTTAGTTTTTTAGCTTTTCAGTTCAAAGCTTTTTTTTTTCCGGTTGGCAAAATTGGTTGAGAGCCGAAGAAGCTTTCAGGTCCGTCGAAGTTTCAAAAACGGATGGAAATTCATCTTCCTTAAGTACTGTTGCTGGTATTGCACCCCCGCCCCCCCCTCCACAAGGAAGGTACCCCCCAATCCACGCCAGTCATGAATATCTGTCTGTTCTCTTCAGAAGGGAAGTTACCATCTAGTGTTACTTTTTTTTTTCTTTTCCCGTTTTTTTGGAACTCACGCTTGCTATCTAACCCACCTAAACTGACCTGGCCTCCCCTTCGATTGGACGTTGCTTGTGTGGATGTGGGAGGGGGATTGTGGCGACCCATGGGGAGTCAGAAAGTAGAGTAAGGTAACCGTACCTGTACTCCCTCGTTACCAAAATACGCAGGTTAACTTAATGTTATTCCGCAGATGTAAAAAATAAAATACAAGTTCCGGATTCTAACAAGATGTGCACCATCGCCTCTGATTCTCGCTATCTGCTTCGCTGAAACATCAAGTTGTGGAACATGACCTACCGTACCAAACCGGGATAAAAAGTAAATAAAGCCATAGGAGAAGAAAAGAAAAAAAGTGAACACTGATCCTCCACTTCATTGCTCCGTCCTGCCATCATCCCCTTAGACAGGCATGCCCAAGTACAGACAGGCCACTACACCCCACAGTAAGTTATTGGAGGAAGGGAAAACTCAACCGTGAATGCACCTCCAGCGAATAGCAGAGGATGCGGGCGCAGGGTGGTAATCTTCCTTTTCCTTGGGGGAAACGGAGTAAATTGGGACCGTTGAGTAAAGGTACCGTACTGTACATGTAATTGTTTCCCGGTTTTTCACTTTTGTTCCCCTTTTATCCTTCTTTCTTCACATCCCCTTCCCCTCCATCAGTCGTACATGTTACCATTCTTAGTTTAGCACTCGTCCGAGATAATTCGGAATAGAGCTGAGATCATCGGTGGTTCTCATTCAGTCTGGAACACTACCTGGGTTACTCGAGTACATTCCCTACTTACGGTGCCCCCAAGCGCTCTCCCAGCCCCGGACCGCCCTCGTACCCTGGGAGTACCGGTACCATCACGCACAAGTTAGTTAGCACATTGATAAAGCAATGCCGCATGCCATTGAAACCGTGTCTTGCCTCTCAAGTTTTTTTGAATCTGAATTTACTTTTTTCGCGTTCAGATACTTTTTATCTTTTGGTTTTCATCATGGACCCATAGTTCTCCGTCGTAAGCTAGTCGGTCTATCAATCAGTCGTGAAGACTGAACACCAATTCGGGCAAGTGACAATTAGGTTCGGTGATTTCTACAGATTGATGATTTCTCCGTTTCTTCCCCAGCCCATATTTGCTGGCGTGCCTTCCCCGAATTCCTAGTTGTTTGGGTAAACATCTAGAAAATGTCCATGGGCTCTTCTACTCAAGGTAATAAAAGAGTACAGGATCAGGGGGGTGTCAGGAGGGTCGGAACAACACGTTTTTTCCATACTTTTTGTTTTTTTCCCTCGTTTTTTTCTTCTTTTCATTCCTTTTCTTGTCATGTCGTGCTCGTGATCCCAAGGTACGGGAAGTTACAATCACCCGTCAGAAAAAAAGAAAAGAGAAAAATTTAATTCGGTGGTCTTCTTTAAAATAGCCTAACTTTAAACACAATATCTCAGTTTTAGCCATCAGTATCCTTCGCAACCTCCAACGCTCCATTCCTCCACAATAACTTGTTACAGTTAAGCTCGCTATGCCAGGACTTTTCCCTCCAACTCTCGGAGAGGAGGATAAAGAATTTGCACTTCCATCAGAAGGTAGACCAACACATGGCTTGTGCAATTGTGCATTGGCTCAAGTTTATGGCAATCACATTTGCCAAATCATGTCGTGATAGGGTGGAAGCTGAGGAAGGGGGATTAGAGTCAACGGGGGTAGGTGACCGGAAAAGCCCAGGGGAAGGAAATGGATCCAAGGGAGGCATTTCACCTTTGACCGTCTTTCTCAAACTTACCGTATACACCGAACTACCCAGTTCCCTGCCCAGCATTCAAACGGATCCAATAGATTGATAGTGGTGGTCCCGAACTTTTGTTTAGCTTGGGAAGATGTGGGGGTGAGAAACACACTTGACTAATCACCTTTCTCCTCCAGTGTTTCTGGCGACAGACCACCGGTATTAAAACTTGGCTCGAACAGTTCGGGTACGCGCCACCCAATACCAACAATGCGAGACGTTTTTTTTCGCTTTCTGGTTTCTACTTGTATCTCTCCGCGGTCCCTTGATTTTCCTTTTTTTCCATAAGGCGGCTTTTTCCAGTACCGGTACCGGAACTGGGTAGCGTCGCTGTAGCGTGGAGTCGAGCAGGGGTAGTGTGGATCGCTGGGGATATTCGTACATTCCACCCTGATTTGTACAACCTCCTCATGTCCCGCGTTGCCAAAATGGTGCTGTGCGTGAAATCCCGAGCTGAGTTTGAACTGAGCGTTGGAGTGCTGGAGGGAAGAAGGGAGCGCTGCATGAACGCAGAGCTACGGCAGTGTTGTAAAAAGTGGTCCACCTTTTACGAGCACATATCCATGATACTATGATAGGATACCGTACCGGTATGATATGACTATATGACAGCTTGGTTCTTTGAGCGGTCTAGTCTAACTCTAACCTAACTCTAACTCAAAACTCAACTTAGCTCTTCCAAGACAGAGACCCGATAGACGAGAACCCCCCACCCACCCACCCACCCCTGTCCTGCTCCTCCCTTTGGCTTGCTTACTTTTTTAGGTTGGAATTAATCCCTTTCGCTTCATGATTGATCTCACAACACCCCCACACCCGTACACCGGAGACCTGCTAGTTCTTCCTTCCTCCGTTAGCCCCCGCCTTGCCGGCTTTCGCATAAATCTCCGATGGTAAACATTGTGTAAAATTCAAATACTCGAGTACAGCGTCATATGTAAACAGAAGTTTGCCCGGTACCAAGCCTGAGAGAGAGAGAGATGTGGGTACACCGTCGAGAAATGGGTTACAAGCAGAACCAACTCCAGGCAACGAGAAACTCCCCGTCAAAGCGTTGTAATCACCGATACTCTTGCGTGGATTAACTAGCCCAACTGTTATTGTTATTGTTTCTGCGCATCATACATTATGTGCCCGTGCCGGTGCAGAGCCATTATACGAGTACAAGAACCACAGTATCAAAGGTTGAGGAAAAAGAAGTATCATATCCATATGCATAGAATGTATATTCGCCCTTTCCTTCTTCTTCCTCCTCCTCTCCTTCTGCAGTCGAGTCTCGGACTACATGATCGGAATCGGGCTCCAAGCATGCTGTGGAAGCCAATAGATACTTTGTTATGAACCTGTATCAAGGATCGAAAAATGATTCCTTTTTTCTTTTCTTTTTCTTCCTTTCGTTCCTTTTTCCCCATCCACCCCCTTCCCCACCATCTCCCTCCCCCTCTTTTTCATTTTTTATCCGCCGCTAGCATGCCTATTATTTCTCTTGTAATGTACTGTAGCATTTCCAAGTCGGCTGCCCGGAGAATCCCACGAAAGACAGCCCGAAATTCGACATAATCCCGTGGAATGTTCGCAACCATTGCATCAACGGTACATGCGTAGGAACCTCCCGCTGGTGTAAAACACATGAAATTCGAGAATTTATTTCACTCTCCTCTTTCATTTTATTCCATGGTAACCCTTTCTTTTTCGCTGTTTTCCCCACAGTCGCCCTCCCCTTTCCCCCAGTCGGCATCCCCTCCCCTCCCCTATCTAACGAATTGCATTCCTGCCCGTCTCCCGCTCGCTTCTCTCTCGTTTCCATCGCACTGCATGGGAATAACATGGAGAAGCGGTCGGCCCACTCATGCACCGCGGCCACCCACCCACCGCAGCCTGCAACTGCCCCTCCCACCCATCATATCCCGTCCCATCAGCATCCTCCTTCTCCTCCTCTCACGAACCCCTTCTTCCCCCCCCCCTAACATTCTCTACCCGAGTACCGTACCGGTATTTTGCTTTTCCCTCTCATCCCTGTCTACCTCGTGGCATGATGTTGCATGCATCGCATGGCGTTTTGGGTACTCGTACACGGCTGATGTTGGATCCAGCCTGCGGGTGGTGGAGGACGGTAATTCCTGACAGCGGAAAGCCTCTTTGTACCATGAAACCCACGTGTGGTGGCAATATCCGCCACACGTTAATTTGAGATAGAGTTCTCTCACAACAAACCCCCTTCCCCCACCCTGAAAAAAAAAATCCAGAGTACTTGTACATGTAAAAAAGCGACAATCTCCTGTCGAACCGTTCGGTTGTTTTAAAAGGCGCAAAGATGTCACATTGGATGCCGGAGTTCCGAGGGTGAGAATGAGATGTGGGCCCTCAACGGTGAATAATCGGACAATCCATCGTCTCCCTTCCTTCTTTCTCCCTTATGATACCGGTACGGTAGATGTCACGGTACTTGTGGAATTGTGGCTGGACGGTGGAGATGCATTGCCGAAACCTTCGCCCCGTATGTAGAAGTAACGGCACCGGCCTGAGGCGACTTGGAGGTCTGAGGCGGTGAAACCTACTTCACTGCACGAGTGAAAGCGAACACTCTAGCTATATCATCGTGGATTATACCGCCCGCGCTTTGGTAACTGAGATTCGCCTTCGAATTTGTAATTGTGAAGACCAAGACGACTTGACCTTGTGGAATAGGAGTATACGCTTCTGAACAAAGCTTCCTTCATCTACTTGTATCGTGCCCCCCCCCCCCCCCCGGTATTCCCCCGTACTGGTTTGACATACTGTTGTCTCGTCAAAAACGGTGCATGCGCTAAGTGCCCGTACTACTAGGAGAGTTCCAAAAACTAAGCTAAGCCCGTTAGCGGTCAATAAAGATTCGAGCTTAAAACTCTCGAGCACTGCACCTTAACTAGGCCGTGACGGTTAAAACATCGTCGGTTTAGAGTTGCCGGCTATCGTGGCTAAAATAGTTAACCTTAGCTAGCCTAGAGTTAGCCAACATAGCAACCGTAGCGTAGCATTCAGGCCTCAACTAAGTTTCGGCAATTGAACTAGCGTGGGATCCGAAAGCAAGGTCTCGAAAATTAATTCTGCGCTTGTGATTTAGGAGAAAACTAGCGGGTTCTTTCGCCCTACTGCTCGTTAGCAAGGAAAAGTTTACCGATCCTCCCTCCGCCACAAACCTTAAGTGTGGGAAGGGGCGCGCACCCTGATCGCAAGCTCCGACCGACCACTTCAACGTCAATAAAGGTGTCCGGCGGGCGGTGATCGTGCACAGAGCCGATGCTGGTCTGTGAGGGATTAAAAATAGCCCAGTCGTTGTAGGTGCGGGAATCGGTGTATCAAAGTTGATTTGCGGAAGGTAAAAGAAAAAGATATTCTTCGCTAGAGCTGCGACAACTCATGGTGAGGAGGAAGTAGGAGGAAAGAAAGACTGGAGAAGAAGAGCTCTTTCATGAACACTCTCACTTGTTGTGATTAGGGGGAAACCCCCTCCAGTTACTGTAAATACACGGGAAATATGGGCTTTTTGACTATTGTTCCGACCACCTATACTCCCCCCGTGTTCCATCCTACCTGCCTGCTGCATTGCCTAATAACAAGTACTCTAAGGGTACATGAGCCTCCCGGGATAAACCTCCCCCCTGTTTCTCTCTTCTCCTTCGGCCAGAAAGTAAGGAATAAGGAACGAAAAACACAACAACTACATCATACATCCGAATCGCGCAGCCCGCGTGGGGTGCTAGTGAGAAAAGTTATAACTTGAGCCAGGTCGATGTCGTTGTTATGTCCAAGGTAGAGAGGGTCACAACAGGTCGAGTCTCGAGTCCCCACGAAACGTCACGCTGTCACGCAATAACAATGCGGGAAAAGTGCATAACTATCCCCCCCTCCACCCCCCGTCAGCTGACGATTGCGGCTCCGGCCATCGTGGCCCGTGTTGGTTATTTGGCGGGAATGGATCTGCTGGGAGTGGAAATTCATGTGCTGGTTGGAAAGGGTTGGGATTATGTTGCGAGTGCGCGGTTTACTGGATGGGGTATCTGTTGGAAGTGAGTGGGCTTGTTTGGTTTGGAAGAGGTGGTTGTGCGCTCGCGTAGGCAAGGGAGCATATATGAAGGACTCTTTGGCCGCGGGTTGGTTTTGTCCCTGGTAAAGAAAGGAAGAGCAGAGCCCGTTCGGAGACTGAAAAAGATAAAGACCTTGTTTATTACTATCTTATTCTTTTCAATATTCAGAAGGCAATCGACCCGATGGCTCCTTGCATACCAAAGACTTTTACTGCGGGACAGAATCCCCTCATTGTGTCTGCCTCCCCTAATCCACTCGGCTTCTCCCTGCCTGCATATTCATAACTCTTCTACTACAAGTACCGTTCCCTCGTATTGAATCAAACTGCTTACATACGCGAAAAATAGCTTCGAGGGTGCCCTTGAGATCAACAATATCACCCCGCCACAAGGCCGTTCCTTCCTCTTCCGAGTGACATTCCATGTCAATCATCCCCGCCTCAAGGCCATTGCCGCAACCGGGAAGAAGCCTCCCCTCCACTTCCACCCTTACCAAGTCGAGTTCTTCCAAGTCATCTCGGGCAAGGTGACGATCGAAGTGGAGGGGGCCGAGCGCGTGCTCTCCGCCGAGAGCGGCGAGGTCAGCATCCAGCCGGGCCCTTATCATAGACTCTGGCCGACCCCCGGTTCCGAGGAGAACTTGATCTTCGACCTTAGCGCCAGCGAGGCCCCCGACGTATCGTTGATTGTCGATCAAAGCTTTTTTGAGAATTGGTACGGGTATCAGAATGATGTCCTGTTGCATGGGGAGAAGATTGATATTATTCAGGTCATGAATGTGAGGACCCCGTTATATCCCCTGAATAACTTTTGTTCTGGGTTCGCTTCTGAGATCTTTGTTTCACCCGATTCCATTCCTTTTTCGCTTTTTTTTATCTCCTTTGCGTTTCTTTAATCCCCTTTTTTTATTATTATCTTTTTTATTTTCTTCTTTGGGATTGCTCGGTTATGTTCTCTCTCCTCTTCTCCTCGGCCGGTGGTGCTTGTATTACCCGTGCATTTTAGCAATGAGCAAGAGGCAAGTTGGGGGAGGGTGAGGCAGAGAGAACAGTTGACTGGCTGCGTTGGGTTGGCTGTGATGAGACAATGACCGACCAACTTCACGAAACCCACCCGGGCGTCCCTAATCACGAATCATTGGCGTCGAACAAGCATCCATCCGTATCGCTTGCTTACCTAGCCGAGAAAAAAGCCTTAGCACCTCGGCCACCTCCATCCGGGCAACTGAAGGGGGAAAAAACAAATACCCATTTCGTGTCACATTTATTTTATTTTTTCCTTTTACAACCATCTCCTTCAGCTGACGTGCCGCAACCATCTATCTTTAATCCTTAACTAAACTAATAATTTCTGTGCTAAAAAATAGATGTTCGATGCCGGCGACTCCTATCTCGCGTTACTCCCAAGATGGTTTCCCTTCGGTCGTATCCTCGCTCAGCTAATAGGCATTGTTATCGGACGCTGGTTTGGGAGCCTACTAGGCTACAAACCGTTCCATCCCGAGTGGACGACCGATTGGCTCGGTGCGTGCGACAAGATGGACAAGTCTATTTTCTACAAACGCTTCGCGGATAGGAGGGCGCAGGATGTTGCTCGGAAGCGGTTTGATGATTCGTCGAGCTCCAGTAAGAGTGATTGATTCATTCGTTGGAGGTCTGAGGCTTTATTACTTATTTTCTTTTTTGGGCTCGGGGTTGTGGTTTGAGTTTAGTTTTCCTTGAATGATTGGTTGCTGATATGGATGAGTGGATTGGTGTCTTTGAGTTTTTTGTTTTTTCTGTTCTTTTTCTTTTTTTATTATTTACTTTTTTGGCTTTGCTTGTCATGCCGTGGAAGCTGTGTGATGATTGGAAGTAAGGAATTATTCTACCAAATAGAGTGGTTGTTTCTCCTTTCTGATACCCTGCATTCCACTCGTAAACCGTGGTGTAAGACCCACTTGAGCTTCGCACTTGGAGTTGGGAGTACCCGGCGAGGAGCACACCGGTCCGCGGGGGTTGGGGAGGAGGGGGAGCGAGTGTGGAAAGGAGGGAAGAAGGACGGCAGGGTGCATCATGTTGAGCGTTTTATTTGCGTACTGGAATATCCAAACCATTGGATGCAGTTGGAAATCACGAAATTCCCGTCGGAGATTCCAATCCCAACTCCAAAACACAAACAAAAAAGATAGGAAGTACCGGTAACAAGAACCAGAGAAGTGGTTAAGGTTGCGTCATAATGTCGCACTCGGGCATTTGCGAAAATACCTCTGGAGGGAAAGCCCCCGAGGGACAGTAAAGGGGGGGGGGGAAACGAACAAACTGGTGAAGCCTTTCCTACCCTTTTTTGATATATTAAATTGTGTTCCGATAGGTATACACTTCTAACTGTGATAGGATAGCCCCCGAGATCTATATCACAAATACCGTAAACGTATCGGGAGTAGGAAGAGAGCGTGTTCGGTTAGACGGGGATGGGGTGGAAAAAAAAAAACGTTGCAATAACGTGGCTCTGGAGATCTTTCTAATTTCTCCTTCCACTGCGCACCATTTATCGTACCACACCATCCGCCATCACCACCACGCACCGCGATTGGCAATTTGGAAGAAGGGAAGGAAGGAAGGATTTGGCGCCCGCCCTTGAGAACCAACAAAGGCTTGAGACGGCTATGGCACAATCCAAGGCATCATAGGCACTTGGGTACCTTGTTAATAGAAACTAGCACAGAAGCGCATGCCAGAAGGGGGGGGAATCCATGCCCCAATTTCGTCTTCGACTTAGCCTCTAACTTGACTTGGCCAGCTTGGAGCTCACACAGATTGTCAATCAATCAGCCGAGCCCCCCTCTCCTTCCGGTGGTTGCTCGTATTATGGTCATGCCATAAATCTCGGGTTATCTAACTTGAATCTGATAAGTTCGCTAATTCTCATGGAGCCACTGCCCCTTAGCTTCCATGTTGGAAAGCACCAATTTGGCAGACATTTTTCTTATTCTTTCTTCTCTTTCTTTCCATAAGCTCGTTTAGGATCTTCCAAAGTAGTTGCCGGTGGATGTATCGGCATGATACGAGGGTGAAATTTAGTTAGGTGGCTCGGTAGCAACAGATACTTGGGAGCACCCTCTTATCTTTGGCAACCAGAACTTCTGTACGGCTTATTTTTCCGCTGCAGGTACATGACCCCTTTCCCCTGAGTTTGCGAGGGGGGGGAGGTTATCACGTGGCTGTGTAGATGTCATGGGATGCTTCGATTGATGGATAGAAGAAGAAGGGAGTGAGACTTGATGATTGGATACCGTATCTCGTCGAAACGTACCTGAGTGCTATTTCTTTTCTTTTTTTCTTCTCTTGTTTCTTTCTTGGGGCGCCTCCGTGGGGTTGGAAATGTGGATTCAGTCGGGACGGCAGTATTGTTGAATCTGGCTACTGGCGGATTGGGGTTCATGGGGAAACGTGTTTAGAGGGGCCTTAAGTTGTCTTTTCCAGGAATCCGATACCTTAGCTGGGCTAGCTAGGAAATTTTTTTGGGGGGTCTCTGGTTCGGTCGTCAGATAGGAGAGTAGCTATTGAATGAGAGTTTTTTTTTTTTTTTGGATAGCATTCACCGGCTAGCCGTCTCAAGACGCACCGTCCCATCTTGGTGTTCGCTCGAAGGTTTGTTCGATGGTCTTCCGGAGATATTCACTGAGGTGCTTACGGGCCGGTAACGCCCGTGGAAACACCCGGGTATTGGAGCGATATCCGGGGGTAAAATGGGGCAGGCAGAAGTGAGGATTTCGACATAGAAAAATAACGGCATGATAATGCATATGAAGCTTGTAGAACTATAATTTCCCATTCTCAAAATACTGGATTCTAGCATATAAGGTATGGTGAGGCCTCCTATTTTTATTTTTATTTTTTTACCCCTCTCTGTAGGGCCCTTTTCACTGGATTGCGGGGATAGTACGAGTAATTCGTCGGGTGGGTTGATCCGTGGAGCGCGCAATCGGTCCTTGAAGGCCAGATCGAAATTCCCTGGATTCATAGCCCGGACGCCCTGGGAGACTCGGAAGGTGAAGGATAATTGGAAAATTCTCCCTGTTGAACGAGATTCCTCCTTTCCTCGAGCTTTCAAACCCCTTCCGCCTCCTGGGCTTCATCTCAACCTGCCCGTTATTCGGCATTAATATACATGGGGGTACAGCGTGATGCCGAGTACCATATGTATCCCTCGACTTTGATCGTTTAACGTGGGAGATACTACCCCTTGCTCTTCGGGATTTTCTAGGTGTTGATTATGGACTTTGTACTGTACTGTACTTCTCTAGTGAATCACAGACTATCACTCGAAACACTTACTCGGGGGTAGTCCCCTCCTTTCTCCTCTCATCATCTAGAAAATCTCATTGAGGAGATAGTCAGCTCTGAAATGCTTTACATGGGTAGCGTGGTGTGTATTCGTGGACCCCATCCTTCTAACATGGGAACCAGTATTTCCTGGGGAAGAGATTTCATCTAGTAAGTGCGAGATCCCCCGGCGGTTGATATAGAATGCAGTGAGACAGGGTAGGGGGGGAAAGTTCAGCATCATAGGTTAACGAGCGATGAGAACCCTTGCTGTCTTCTAAATGGCCAAGTAGAGATGATATTGGTAGTATGTATACTGAGTATACTGACTTCTTTCAGGCAGGTATAGGAACTCCAAGAGTCTTTCGCTGTAGGGACATGCACGTTTCGGCGATTCCTCAAGACTAAGGGAAGGCAGATTTTTAGTGGTCGAGTCAAAGAACCACTATTGATAGGAGGTAGCCACGACCGATACATATCGATTCGGGAATACGGCGCTATTGAGGAGCTGGAGCTGTCCTGGAGGTAGTTTTCGGAAATTACAAACTTATCCTAGGCCGTTTACTCCCGTTACCAGTATTTTTGGGATTGTTCCGTACGTACATGCCTCGTTCACAGAGTCAATTAAGCTCTTTTAGTGTCGGTTGCGTATCGGGTCACACGATATCACTCCTGAGGACACATTAATGGTGTGTGGAAAGGTTATGAGAGAAATGGGAAACAGCATGGCTTGATTGACGACTACTGGACGGCTGGAGCATGAGATAGGAGACCCCCCCGATAATAGCCGTGTTGCCCGGTGATCAGAGTTATGCTGAGAGTTATGAAGCCGAATTCGCCGCCCAAATGAGCTGGTGTCGAGGAGGGCTGCCCGAATGCTCCCAATACAGACTTCAGCTGATTTAGTATTTCTTATCTAACTTTAATTTTGAGGTTTTAACAGAAGCCGGTGTTTCAATGCTTTGAATAAGAAGTTATAGAGAATTGGGGATCTGGGTTAGTGTTTAGGGGAAGGTTATTGTGATGCGCTGACCGGATGCTGGCAGCGGCCCGCCCGCCGTGGTCCCACATTAGACGAACACATAAGAGAGGTTAGCAGGAGATGGATTTTCCCAAATTGAATTGTATTTGCCTCTCTTCATCCCGTTTCTGATTAATCAATTCTTGTTTTCTCTTTCTCTTTCATTCCTCTTTTACCTTCTAATATGTTTCGCATATATCCTCTGACCTTGAATGATAATTGACTACCTAGATCTTTCGCCGGTCATGAAATTTTCCGAAGGTCAAACAAAGGCAGGACACCCTGGAATTGGTGAATGATTCACGGGATATATTCAGTCGGCTCTGAGAGTCAATTGGTATTCAAGGGACGGGGTGCGTCGGTAATTCCGGGAAAGGAATTGCGTTTTCGTTTTTTTCAGTCAGCGTTCCTCTCTCTAGTCTGGGTGGGGTAGGTATCGAGTTTTATTCACTCTTAGTGCTTTTTGCCTTTTTTTGTCGGATCATGCAAAGCGAGTTTTGAATTGCCTCAAGGTATCCATTTGGGATGGGGTGAGAGAGAGGAAAATTTGTCATCATTAGTGGACTAAGTACGAGCGGTAACGGTATGGTGGAACTGGTTATGCTAAACATATAAAAGCTGGCATCATTATCTCAACCACCCCCGGGAGCATAGGAGTCTAGCCACTAAGTTCACTTTCACCCAGAAACAAACGGTATCAATGTTTGGATCTAGGGGGGGGGGATATGAGTATAATATGTAGCGCGAAAAGGAAAGATATCTCCGAGCATGTGTCCTCTATAACTAGTTAGCAGCGGAACATATGTGGTAGACTACACAAATCAATAACATCGTCCCACGATTCTCCGGTATCCCACCCCCTTTCTCTGGCGCTCAGGAGCATTGCGCAGGAATAAAAGAAAATTGACAACTGTCCGAGATTGCTCTCAGTATCCTTCCGGGTATTCCGGCAAGCCTCGGATGCCATCCTGCAACTTCTCCACAACTTCCAGCACTCGCCCGGGGCGCTCCAAAGGAAAGTTAGTGTTGGATATGTTTCCCGCAGTTGGCCATGGAAAAATGAACATACCGCTAATATTTTTGCCCTCGGGTGTTAATATTCTCGTCAGTACCGTAGAGCCATAGAGGAGTGACATCACACGCGGGGGAAGCGGCTACAGAAGAAATTGATCTCAGGAACTTTTGATTCCCTTAACTTCCGTATAGCTCATAGGATTATGGGGTCCTAGGGTGTGAGTGCGGGCAAGAGTTGTGGTGCTTAGGCACTTAGTGACTAATTGCTGTTTCAATTTCCTATGCTATCATGGTATTATAGGCATAGGATATTATTCATAATTATCATACCAGCTGTCTTTGGGCACCGGGAGTTTGGTCTAGTTTGTTTTGTTTTATGTCATTCGGCATAGGTTTTAGGGATTGGTTTTCACCATAGCACTACGATAGCTTGTTAAGGGAGGTTGTGGAGCGCGCCCGACGAGGATGGATTGTTTACTTTCTCAGAATTTCTGGTGGGTTCCTGTCATTACTCGAGTGGTTCCATGTATTCTATTCATTCATTCATTCATTATGGTCTGTGGAATTTGATTTAGTTTCGGGAGGTGTATCATAGTTGTTTATATATTTTATACCCTTGTCCCTAGCTAGCAACTCTACCGGTTACCTGGTTAATCAACTTTCCACGTTTAGCCGTGCCTGACCCTATCGTAGTCTTATCTCACTGCCTCACCTTTTAGTTCGTTCTGTAGGTTTCTTTAGGGGTATGTGCTTAGGTGCCACCATCTTACAATACTTGGTTTCTCCCTATTGATTATCACAAATATCTGTTTCTATCGCAGTCTACCAGGGATGGTGGAAAGAGGCAGCTCTCTTCCCAATGCCAATCTGCGCATCGAGTGCAGAGCCCAAAGAAGAATAAAGCCGTTTGTCCTATTGAGAAACAAGGCCCTATTCGCTTATAGAACTTTAGTGCAAGAGGTGAAGAGACCTATGTTGGATGGATGAACATATTGGGTGGAGTGGAGATTGAGGCCCACACGTTGATAACCTCCCGCCACAGAAGGGTCTCTCCCTCCGCAATCTTCCGCGGTCCTAACGGACAAAATAGAGATGGCGCCTTCATTAGCACTTACACCGTCTGGTACCGGTACTGTACCTTCCATCCTTAACCCTGCTGTGCACTGTGTCTTTCACCCTGGCACCCTGATTACATGGGATCAGCTAGCATCAATATTGGTCGGTAATTCTCCCATCCAGTTGGAATTTCTTTTTGGGGAATTTCTTTACGATCGCTCCTCACATCCAGAGGTCAGTGAAGGGAGGGCCGGAGGTAACTTATCCGGCACGGATATATGGTATTACCGGTGGGGAATCAATTTCCCCACAAATTCACGGTTTGGTATCTCTTCTCCCCTTATCCTGTGATGTTAGTGAGAATTTCCCAGTTTAAGATTTAGCAATGCTCTGAGGCGTGCATTCTTCGGGACGAGCTGCATAGCTGTTGGTATCCTACGGGCTAAGTTAGAGTTCTCAAAACACTACAATAATGTATTGGCGATCAATCCACATTTGAGAAGACCGTGAGCTACAGCGTGATCGAGGGAGGTGCCATTTTGTAACCTAGAATTACATCACTATTCGTGACATAGAGAAAAGGGTATCACGTTATTTCCCCATCACGGTTACTGATGTAACATGTGATTATGGGCTGGACCCAGGTTAGTCGTCGATCCAAGAGAGTTATGTCGGTACTTGTACCAACACTCAAAACTTAATGTTCACCTGGGCCACCCACTGCACTGTGATGTTGGAACATGGCCTCAGCTCCCGTTGGCACATCAACACCCTTCTAGAAGCACCAATATTAGATCATGAACTGTCGCACCCAATAACGACCCGCTAAGTTAACCCCGCCTTTTTCCGTCTCTCCATCCCAGCAATTGTTGTACTTGTGGCGGGCGGAGGGGGCCCACGCGATTTCCCCAGATTACGTCCATCATGCGCTACTGATCCTTTCTCTAGTATCCCCAACATCCGGTCATGGATGTTCTGAGATCATTGCATAGCACAAAGTGTCACTCGTTACCAACAACCGAACCAACCAACACCTGGCTCGGGGCATCCCACCTTAATTTTCCCCCTGAAGGCACGTGCCGTTATTGGTTCCCAACAACCAACCAACGCCTGACCCAACAAGTCCTTTCTATAGTGCTTTTGTGACCAGTGTTTTGAGGATTACCATGGTTGGGACGCGAAGAGCGTGACGGGAGTGACACTAGGTATGGATGTTACTGGTATCGGCATTTGCCGGTAATGCACCAACATGTTGATTTTTTCTATGGTACTTGTACGGTCGGGAGGAGTGACACGGGGTACGGCACAATGGAGGGCTTTAACCGGGCCGATAAGAGAAGCTGCGTATTAGGCTGGCGCAGTGACTCGTGATAATTTAGAAGAGAGTGGTGTTTTCGGCTGGCGGTCCGCACCCTCTGGGTTGTAAGTGTTGGTGGGGGTAGACTAAACCAAGAAATGGGGAATAAACTAACTACCGGATAGTGTCTTGTCGCAATATGTGTTACCGAAGGAAGAGATTCTGTGAGAACGGATATGTTCGCTTAGGCGAGGAAATTTCTTGGGAAATTCTTTATTCTCGAGTTAGTAGGTGAAACCTTTGGAAACGATAGGCCATTTTTTCTCGGTCTGTAGAATCCTCCAGGGCACGTGATTCTGAGGATAGGTACTTGTCAAGTATTGGGAAGGGAAGTTTAGGTTAGCGTCCAGTGTCAAGCCGCTGAGATGCCTTGCCGGGTATAGAACCGGCTTGGATCAAGCCCCGACGCCAAGTTTAGACTCCTATCAGTTAGAAAATTCCCTAGCCTTTGAGACTGGATCGGCTCTGGCAGTTCGTAGTACTGTCATACTATCATGGCACTATTCCATAGCGAGCTGTATGATAGAACTTGGTAGTATTTGTAATTAATGTTATGGCGGTGCTCTCCGAAGTGTTTGTTATCATCTTTATCAATTTAATTCTCCACTAGGGTGGTCGCACAAAGGAAGGAACTTGAAATCAGGATGAAAGAGGCTCCTTGTGTCACTTTTGGGCCCACCAACACTCCTATAGACAGTCACTACAAAACCCTATCCAAACTAAGAAATCCTAGCTAGCCCTTAACCCTACAACACAAATCAGGGTATCCCCAAAACGAAGAATGATAACAACATTTTCGTCTCCCATTATCATACTAAGGATACTCTGATAAGTTACTTGTACTGTACCTTGGATTAGTAAGATAACCTGGACAGTTCGGAACATGGACATTTTACCAGCTCCCGGGATCTAGGGTGGGGCGCACGAGGGGGGGGTGTGCCGTAAGGCCTCGAATACCGAGAACAGAAAAGCGTACTTGGACGTTGGAATTCCCCTTCTCGGGTAGCCGAGAGGAAACTCAACTCAGTTTAGACGAAGTAGCAGGAATATGCACAGCCACTTACTAGAAAAGGCAGCAACAGCGTCCAAACGTATTTTCTTACATTTGAGTTTTCCAATATATCGCTTGTTGCCTACCAATTGCAGCCCATGATGTGATGACTGGGGAGCCCAGACAGCATGGTGGTAACCAACCATTTATAGGCCCACCCTCATGTGTGTCTGCATAGGTGTCTGTAGAAATTGCAACGACTTTTGGGGGCTCTCGCGAAGGTAGTCTAAAGATGGATATGGAGTTACTATGCCTCCTTATCGCTCCCCTCTTGGTATTCATGTTTTTATTTTTTATTTTTTTATTCAGAATCTAATCAGAGCCAACAGGGTAAAAGTGAACATATCCTGCAATGACGCAGTATGGGAGGGATTATGGGCTGCCGTGGTGGGGTTTTGGGCGGGGGGTCTTGCTGGGGGGCTTTGATGGGTGTCGTGATCGCCTAAGAAATATCTCCGAAGTAGATTTGTTTGTGAAGCGGTAGCTACCAGAATTCAAGCCCAAACGTAAAGAAGCCATTTTATTCTTTCCAGTTGATCTAGTATCTGGAGGCCTGAAATCAGGGATTGCAATAGTTGAGGTTGGTGTCTCTGGTCATCCACGATCGTATTCTTAAGTGGTCTCCTGGTAAACTGTGTTCCTAAAGTGGCTCCATTCCACCCCTAACCCTCCAAGCATACAGATCTAAAACTTGGCACTCTTTTTCTTCCATCGTGGCAACTAACTTATCCATGAGCTACTGTACGCCCTATTTATCATTAACTACCTCCTCTAGCCTTGTGCTATGCCCAAGGCGGCCGAATCCATTCTAGGTTTTAGAAGTGTGCGCCTAAGCTTATTCAGGTCAAGCGCCCCCTCTAGGGCCTTAAGGCCTACCGGTAATACGAGTACGTACCGTACCGGTATGATATCATACTTCGGATCACGGGGGAAACTAGTCGTTGGAGCCTTTAAACTAGAGTATGGAAAATCTTTTCTTAGCGATCATCTTCCACTCTTCACCCCGCGAAAAGATATTTTCGAGAATTTGTTATTCAGGTTCCAGGCCTCCAGCCTTGTCCCCTCAATGCTTATACCACCAGCGAATAAGACAATCTATATAGCAAACCGAATACTGTACCCTAATGTGGCACTAGTTTCTTGAGGAAAACCCAGAACTCCAGGCATGGTATCCGAAGTCGTTGTACACCCCCGGTACCGAGTCTCGTTCCAGCGGACCTCTCCCAAGTTCAATTTCTTAGGCGGACACTTGGACAACGTTAAATTAGCACCAGGGCCGACTTTCTGTTAGATATGATTCAACCGCTTTCACCTTCGCCAACACTCAAGTTCAGAAATAAGGTGCACACAAGCCGACTTGGTCCCTAGCCCCGCCCCGGACTTCCTCCCACCGCCCAAGAAAATTTCAAACATGGTTCCCAATCTTTCTCGGTCTGTCTTGACCTTCCAAATTGACCCATAATGGCTGGCAATGGCTGACACCGTAACAGGTTTCTGGATTCAGACGTGTTCGATGTTGTGGCAGGATTAGATAACAAGAGATTCCGAATTCACGGAGAACTGCTGGCAATCCACTCAGAGACCCTCTGGTGGCTAGTGAGCAACAAACTGTGCGATGGCCAGAAACGGCAACTAGTCATCGAAGAACACGACGGCGCTACCGTAGGACGCTTTGCAGAGTTTCTGTACACGGGGGATTATCAATCACCTAGCCCGGTAAAAATATCGGGTACTCCTAGGAAAGGTGCTACCAATGACAGCCTTACCCCTCCTCCAGAAATTGTGGTCCCTACAGACGGTGCGGCACAAAAGTGCGAAACGGAACCAGAATCGCTCGCCGAAATGAATGCCAACCCTACCAGCTCGGCACCTGAGAATTGTGAAACAGGTAATACTCCACCGTTGGATATTACCCCCGAATGTGATGAACTCGAAAGTTCAGCCTCTGACCCAGTCCCATTACCACCTGCAACTTTTCTTCCTGAACCTCTGCAAACCACCTTGGCGCCTAAGGATGCACTAGAAACCGCGAGTCAGCAAAAACCGCCCGAAACCCAATCGGATAAGGAAGATCACTTCGATTCCGCTGAATTTGACTTCAGAGACGTCTTCCTTGCGCACGGGAAAACCTACGTGCTAGCTCATAGTTTCGATGTTAAACCGTTGGAACGGCTGGCGGTCATGAGGCTCCAGGATGTCTTCGGCAAAATCGTCCCTGTGACCCCCGAAACCCCGGTGGTATCAAACTTCGCAGAGCTAGTCCACTATGCTTACAAAAATTCAACTGGCGGCAGTCTCCGGGAGGCACTCCTGAAATTCTTCTCACCCAACCTTAAAACCCTTAGGGGTGCCGAGCTCCAAAAGTTGGTCAGCAATGGTGGTGATCTCGCGTCGGACCTCATGCAAATAGTGTGCGACAAATTGGAGGGCTCGGAGCAGGAGAACGGTCAGTTGCTCCTTGAGGTCGAGACTTTGAACACCAAGCTGAACCTTGCTGAAAAGACCAGGAAATAGCGAGGGCAGATGGAGTTTTAGGAAGAAATCCAAAGAGAGGAGGGACGACCTTTCACCTAAGTATGACTGGGAAGGGGGAGATCTTCACCCGGATCCAGCAGGAGGAGGTCCTTAGGTGCTTCCAGCAGTTAATTGGGAGAATTGATGGGTTGGTGGAGGTCGAAAGGAGACAAAAGGGGGTATGGACCACTAGATTGCATGCCTACAAGGTACTAGAGGAGGACTTGAAGAGGGATAAAGATATGCTATTGACAGAGAATAGCACTATCAAGAAAGAGATGGAAAAATTTAAGGCGCAGAATATTCGATACCGAAGAAGGCTTCAGGAATTGGGGACTGGGATATACATGTAAATAGTGGACCACCGACCGAGCCACCGCTCTCTCTTCTCTTTCTCACAACCGCGGGCCACGGAGTTTCATTTATGAGTGATTGTATGAAGAGTGTAGTAAATAGAGGAGGGTGATTAAGATCTAGGAAAGAGTCTACCTATCCTATGCCTAGTATTATACTCCCCGGCATCCTTCCTACTCGTTAGTGTTACCATGAGTATTTCAGCCCGTATTCGATCATGCCACGGCGTCCCATCAAACCCCTCACCACAGCCCCCCCCCCCCATCTTCTCTCTAACGCGATACCGACCCACATTCACAGGATCTCACTCGCCGATGTGTGATTTGCGTCCATCTGGGAATAGCCACTCACTCGATCCTACGATCCTATTGAACCCAGCGAGGGGGTATGAGGGGGCAGTTTCGGGGGACTCCTGGGGCGGGTCGAAGTGGGACTGGCCTAGGTGCCTAGGGACGCTGGGAGGCTTTCGACACGCGCCGTGCGGTGGATAAATATTTTATCCATGGGTGGAACACATCTGAAGGTACCCACAAATATCTGAAGATGACCGCAGATATACAGAGATTCCGCCAGGCATCTGGGGATGCCGGCAATTACCTGAAGATACCCGCAGATACCTGAAAACCCCACGGATATCTACAGGTATTTTCAAATATCCGCTCTTACCATGCAATTTCTAAAGCTGCCTCCAACTAGGTTAGGCCTAGGACACACAAAGAAAAAATAAAGAGACATTCGGACAAGTTCAAAGCATTGGGTACCGGGGATGCTGGGCAATTCATGTCACTCGGTATATTCCTAAAATGTACGGTAGATTAAGATAAGTTATTTGCACGATAACAGATGAACCTCGAATTCTCCAAGCATGCTTCCTCCCAATAATCCCGCAACCAAGATTTTTTATTATTACCCTGATGATCCGGTTGAACACAACTATTTGAGCGAGAACACGAACTTACACTCCGGATCTATACTCGATCTGCACCCGGGTGTCTTTCAACCCAGACTCCCATCACACGAGTGAAGAAAGTTGTGAGACAACCACGTTCTCGCACCAAAAAAACAGGGGTAGTTGAGGTAATCACAGACTTCCAGGACATGTTTAAAATCCAGGTCATTGTATAGATAGCTTCGGTTATCTCTAGGAACTACCCACACAGATTTCGGAAAGTCATTGTCAAAGAAGTTTCAAATTATAACTGCTAGAATCGACATGACCTTCACAACACAACTCTAGAAGACATTTTTTGGTGTGACAACGGCAAGATGTTCGGGTTGGCCTCCCCACCTTAATTAACTGGTGAAGCAGAAATGGTATCTATTCCTGAAACGAAGAGGACAAAGGGAGGAGAAGCTCTAGGGCCAGTGTATGAAATTATTCCCACTCCAATTCCAAAGATATCAATGCGCAAAAATGTAAATTTTGGTGTTTGTAACGCCTCTTGTCCTACTATTTTCTTTACTCGGATGTTAAGATGATAACCGATCTAAACCCATAAGAAATTGTCCTGAAGATAACGTACCACCCATTATAATCATGTATGCGCAGAGACTACTGACTCATATACTACATGTAGCGTTCCACTTAATCCATGCCAATGTAAGTACTCCACTGCCCTGGAAACTCCCAGAATCCTGGCAATCACGTTCGATCACCCGGAATCCCCCAGATATCTGTAGTCCAACAAAGCCCAGAGAGATGAGTAGAAGCCGGACTAGCAGCTTGGCGGGGGGGGGGGGGGGGGCAGGTGGTGTTTTGTACCTGATCGTATCTCTGATCCGGTCGTGTCTTTTTTATCCGGTTTCCCTCTAGATGTTTTAGTTATGAGACACGATGCCGTCTAGAGAGGGGGAGTGTTGGGCGAGGAGGTGTAGGGATGTGGGGGTTATCAGGATGAATTATTTACTGGAGGGGGGTAGGAGGGTGTATGTATGTGTATGTGCCGTACTTTCAATTTTCTAGCATTCGTGACACGGGTACTATTACACATGGACAAAAATTCGGTCGGAGCCCTGGGGTCCCCGCGGTGTGCAATAATTAACAGCCGTGTTCACCACTTTGAGTGCAAAATGCTTAGTGGTATGCAAGAGTCCCAAAGAAAAATAATTGAAGAAATGTAGCGTAGGCTTTACGCAGTTTGGTAATCTAGGGATTTAAAGGTACCAGGGATCCATACATGTTCCATCCCGTGGGGAAAGATTTTCACTCGGCAAACTAGGTCACTTTCTCGGCTGGGTGTCCTACCGGAATAAAAATGAGCCTGTACTGCACAGTACTGTGCCAGCCAATACCCGACCTTTGGGCCTCAACCACAAATAAACTATTCTTGCTCTGCCACCTTGCTAGGCATGCAGAGGATATATGCAACAGCTTGGAAAACATTTTTGAAGCTTGAATGACCTCTGTAGCATCTTTTAGAGACCAAAGAAGGAACATTTAGTTGCGTATCCAGAATTGTAAAGCATTTTCACGCTCTCAATGGAAGTGGGCGGGAGTTGGGTTTTGGCTGGTACAGGCCCAAATCATCCCACACCCAATTAACGATAAAAAGGAGTTATATAATTTCTAAAATTTTGAGAACAAGTGGCCGGTGCCCCACTGCCTTTTTGCCACACTTCTATCCATCTTTTACAATCAGTGAAAAGTCTTCCACCAATGTAATGTTTAACTACCGCCACTTCTCCCACTGTCTTTTCACAGCTGCAACAGCAACCCTTCCACCTCCTACTTCACAGCTCTCAGCTCAACTGAGCACTTGTGCCTGTCGTATAACACATTCCCTTCCTAACTCACTATCGTGGATCCCGGCAGCAGGCCACCGCCGGGGGGTGGTGGACACCGTAAGGTAAGCTATAACAATCTGTAGGTGGAAGCAAAATGGTTTCTTTCTTTACTTTTGTCTTCTTCAATAGTGCACTTCTCAAGGTAGGCCTCAGTTGGCCTCAGACATCACTCGCCTTTCACTTGCCCTATGGATAGGTAGAATCCGACTCTCCTAGTATGGTATCCTATTGGGAAAGTGACCTACTCGGTCAAGGGGATATCCCTTTGGCCAAGTGGAGCCCCCCCCCCCCCAGGCGGGGCAGAATGAATACTCTTTGATTGGAGTGTGATGCCCATTTGATAAGGAAACCGGCTCTAGAAATTTGCTGACTTTTTATTTTATTTTTTTAGCTAACCCGTATTTATTTAGGCTATCACAGCTCGGCATTCTCATTACCCATGATACTTGGCAAAACCTAATGGACAAAATAAAAAAATTTAAAATAAAATACTAAATTCTATTCTCACTATCAATATTTGAAAAAAAAAAAAAAGTACTATGTTATCGACCAGACCTGATAGTCTATTGGTTAAAGGACTGGCGACAAATGATACCAGCAGGAAGGTTGGGAGGTCAATTCCCATCATGGGAGTGGGTGTAGCAAGCATCAAAAAAAACCCCTGACAAGGCCTTGTGAACCACCTTTTTTCTATTTTTGTTGCTCCCCTAACCTCAAGAGGGCACTTACGGCACCAGTGGCCTCCGAGTGCCCAGGAGAGTTAACAAGCTGGTAGCATAGTACCACCCCGGGCGGATTAGGGTAGAGTTAGTATATGTTGGGTGGATGTGGTGGGATGGAAGGAGAGAACTTGGTCGATCGGTCCAGGAATAAGCCGGCTATATAAATTATCATACATAAACCTCACATCCTAAGCAAAGTCCTTGTCTACCCTCAACTACTTAACAATGATAAGCGTGGTTGCCCGTATCCGTATCCGCAACACTTAGGATAGAAATATCATCGCCCGCCCCATGCCCCACAGGATGGTCTCTCGCCAATTATTTATTGACAACTACTTCATCAAAATATCAGTATATAGCCTACCAATAATGGGCTTCTAAGGTCGCCCATTCAATTCCTCCCCCCCTAGGCTCCCTAATACTTTCTTCCGCAGAGATCTATAACCTGAAAAGGCTGTTTGTACACATCCTCACTTCCCCGGTCCATCATTTGACCCCGCAGCCATCAACCATCTCTGGCCTACTATGCTTACAGCATGGCCAGCCTGTACTGTACTACCGCCATAACTCTACGTGTAGACTTGAGATCTGCATGTATTTCCGGCGCTCTAGACGAGACACATGCTGAACTTCTTAAATCTGCAATACTTGCAGGAGGGTGCATAAACCTCATACTGTGGTTCGTAATAGCTAGTAATGTTCGAAGAGGAGGGAGGTTCAGTGCGAGCGTGGTGGGCAAGAGATGAGCATAGGGTCAGAGGAGAGGTCTTTTGAGGATTTGATAGATTTATTCCGAAGCTTTCTCTCTGATCTTCCAGTGTGTTCTTGGGAGGTTATCGGATGCTAAAGCCTAGCAAAACAAGCGAAGCTCCCCGGAGAGAGCATCAGGGAGAGAGAGGGTATTGGAGGGGGGGGCTCCACAGGCCTTCCCTACTCACCCAATTGGGAAGTGTAGGAATTTTATGTACTCGCGATGTCGAAGAGTTTTTAAAAGAGACCGTTATTGCATACCACCAAAAATTGGCCCTTTTGCCGGGATATAGGCGGTATGCAATAGCAGTCCTTTTTAAAAACACTTCGACATCGTGAGTAGCCCGGAAGTGGTATTATATGCTAGGGTGAGCTCCCCAGACCTCAAAGGGGTTTCTTGTGATATAGTAGGGTAGTGGTGGTGGTAGTGGAAGCGATGGAAGGAAGCGTATCTAGCCCGGGGCCGTGAGCTTAATAACGCCTGTTCCTGGCAAGGTGGATATCTGACAGGAAGCCTTTTTTGTATTTTCCACCGGGCCAGAGATATCTATTAACCCAGTTTCCTCTCTCCTCCCCTTTCTTCTTCCTTACATTCCACCCAGCTCACCAGGTGTGTCTGGTCGTTCCCGGGGGTAAGGGCTAGGACAGAAGGAAGGTGAAGAAAACAGGTAGAGAAATAGGAGTATTCGAGTATGAAAGAGTGGTAGTAGATAGATTGATCAGTTTTAGATAGGCAATTCACTTGGACAGAATGAAAAGGTTCAATGTTCGCATGATAATTTCTAACTAGCTCACCGGGTCCCTTTTCATAGGACTTGCCTCTTCCTATGCCGTGCCTGTGTGGGTGAAAAGTTTTCACCTCTATCAAGGGGGAAGAAGATTTTCTTTCAATGAAACAAATGAAACAAGAAGGAAACAAGAATGGAAACAAGAAAAAAAAATTCAGCTGCAGGGGGATAAGGGATCAAAGAGTGGAAAGATGAAATGTATCGAGGTACGCAGGGGACACTATTCCAACAGAAGGGATATTTCAAATTAGATAGGTTATCAGTTGATAACCTCACGGTCCCCGACTGGTACTGCATGATACGAGCAAGGTCCACCTCAAGATCTCGAGGGTCGCATTTTTCACTTACAGTCGCACCCCGCTATCCCGGATGGCCAAAATCCGAAGAATCTGTCCGGAACAGCGAGGGATCCGGGACAACGGGTGAGGTTTTGGTGGAAATAAATCCAAAGCTCACAGAAATTCATACGGGACAGCGAGGTATCCGGGTTATCGAGATCCGGGATAGCGGGGTGTGACTGTACTGAGTTTTTTCCCCCCTTGCTCTAGTTTTCTGAAAGGGTTTCTTCCTTACTTGCCGGCCACCCCCCCGCCTTTCTGGGTCCCTGCGTTCTCAGTGGCTGGTTGGTGTTCGCTTCCAGCAAGCAAGAATGAAGTATGGTTATGTCGATATGTGGGTAAATGAAAGCAACCTAAATTGATGATCCAGACTGGACGTGTTTTTTTAGATGACAGCACGGAATAAAATACTTGATATCTTAGGGAGATGTAAACAACCCGGCAAACCAGTGGCCAGTCTTGCACCTGCAGACCAATAGCACCCATCCCCAAGAAAAACATGGAGATCTCCCGGGAAGCGTTCTTTTAGACGTTTCGACGATATATTACTATCAGAAGTATTTTTGGCCCTCTTCTTTTCTTTCTCCTGTTTTCCCTTTCTTTCTTCTACCAGTGGGGTACCTATTCTACCCGGCTTTCCAGGAATGGCCGGCTATTGGCAGGAGCGGGGGGGGTAGGGACAAGCCATAGACCTGATTAGGTTGTTTAGCTCATTAAATTTGTCTTCTCATTGCCCCGCACATGCAAAAGATAGCCTGTAACTTAACTTACTACTGCGAAAAACCCCAGCCTACCACTACCCCCCCCCGCAAACACCACCCCTCATCTCCTCATCTCCCGCTCCATTCCATTACTGGTACCGGCACTGCGCTAGTACTCGTGCAGCCCAAACCTTAATAACCTCCTCCTCCCAGCCTGTCCAGACCCCCCCCCCCGGGAAAATCCCGTTTCATCGATCAGTTTAATTCCCGTTGCCGGAACAACCATCTTCCGCTCATCACTAAGCCACACCACCCCCGCAACAACAATCGACTCGGGCGATCGCAAACCCCCCCTTGTCAACCTTTGTTTTTCCCCTCCCTTTTCCTGCACGTTCCACTGCAAGCCAGTCCACAATGCGCAACACGCCCAGTGATAAGAGTTCCCTCTCTACCGGATGCTATAGTCAGTTACCGTATCAGGCAGTTAGGTTGGAGAATTATGGTGCTCGAGTGCGATAATAGTTTTGGAGAGTTGAAATGGCCGGGGTTATTATATCCGGTTAACTTATGTGGGGGATAGTTAATCCAAGAGAAGTAGCCATGGAGGGGATTGGTACACCGGAGAAGTAACACCTGTAGGTACTCTTTTTTTTTGAAAATAAAAATAAAAATGGAGGGTTGGGTTAATGTTTGATTTTCAATGCGTGCACACACTCTGGGGGGTAAAGTGAAAATAGATGTTGTGGAAACTGCCTGAAGCACGATTTGTACGGGTACTCGAGTAACGTGCTAGTACCCCAGTGAAGCGGTGATTTGGTAGTGCTAAAATGCCTGGCTAGTCAAATAATTTGTGTAGCAGTGCATAGCTAAGCTCAGAATAGTAGGATCTGCACGCCCGCAACCGTTCATCACAATTGATCACTCACTTTGTGGGTTTCAGACGGCATGTTCCCCTGAATGAGTGAGGCTGAGGGACAGCCGCACCCTAACCATCACTTTCTCTACCATGATGCCGTGTTTTCACTTCGAACTGGGCGCGTGTTTTCATCTTGGATCGGCGGTTGAGCTCGGGTATTTGGGGTCCGTTCCATTCATTCAACTCCACTGGTACAAGTAAAAGAAATCTTCCATAATACATCATCATTGACTCAATGGTGTATCAGAACACACCCATGACATAGCACACTCATCTACGACTTTAAGGAGAACATGATAAATAATCGTAGGAAGAAAAAAAGGATGTTAAACGCCTCCTCCACTACGCACTCATCCTTATCCTCACCCTTAATTCATTCCTCATCCAATCCATAAAACCATAAGACATGAAAAATAGAAAGCAAACAAGACATTAAACCACATCATTATCATATCATGAATTACGCTATCGTTGTCGTAGGATAAACCGGTGTCACATAGGAGCAACTCGTGGAGCCAGAGTTATGGCAGGATATGCAATGCTCTTCTTGTGCTAGACAAACAGTTTGGTAGTATCTGCAGTTGCGGTTCTCTGTTGCGAGCCAGCAGAAGCTGCCTTGCTCCCAACACTGGTTTGTACTTGCCCAACATTCTTCGAAATTGCTGTAGGTTGGAAGATGCTTTGCGCACCATCTGCCGACCAAGTAAGCACAGGAGCTAGTTGGGCTGGGGGGTTTCGAGGTGGTAGTGCTCGGGGTTGTGGTTGTAGGGGGTTCAGGGGTAGTTGGGGAAGGAGAGGGAGTAGGGGTGGTGGTTGGTGGTTTGGGAGTGGAGCTAGTGGAGCTAGTGGAGCTGGTGCTAGGGGTCGATGTGGGAGTGGGGGTGGTGGGGCCGGCGGTGCTGGAGCTGGAGGTTGAGGTGGTGGTGGTGGTGGTGGTGGTAGAACTCGTAGGCTTGGAGGTGGTGGTAGAACTTGAAGAACTCGAAGAACTTGAAGAGCTTGAAGAGCTTGAGGAACTCGAAGAACTCGAAGAACTCGAAGAACTCGAAGTACTTGAGGAACTCGAAGAACTCGAAGTACTTGAGGAACTCGAAGAACTCGAAGTACTTGAAGAACTCGAAGAACTCGAAGTACTTGAGGAACTCGAAGAACTCGAAGTACTTGAAGAACTCGAAGAACTTGAAGTGGTGGAAGTGGTGGAAGTGGTAGAAGTGGTAGAAGTGGTAGAAGTGGTAGAAGTGGTAGAAGTGGTAGAAGTGGTAGAAGTGGTAGAAGTGGTAGAAGTGGTAGAAGTGGTAGAAGTGGTAGAAGTGGTAGAAGTGGTAGGGTGATGAGTAGGGGTAACAATCTCAGAAGTGAAGCTAGGTCCCGGACCGGCAGCACGATACCAATTCTCCTTTGGATCTCCCATACACTCACCCACAGTGACAGCCTTGTAGCCCTTCTGTTGTAAAGTCCGGAGCATGTGTTCTGTCAGATTCTGCGCGGTGGTCCGGTGGATATCATGAGCAATTGCAAGGAATGCATCAACAGCAGGATTAGAAGGGTTGATCGCATTGTCAAAGTTATTCATGGCAACCTGAACCTTCTCGGGCGTCGCCTGATTGTAATCATCCGTATCCAGATCAAAGTACGTGATATGGTACCCCAAAGAACTCATCGTGGCCACGCAGGCGGCATTGCAGGAAGAGTAAGGCGGACGCATATATGTCGGAAAGAAACCAAGAATATTGCGGAGAGCCATCTCAAGCTTTATCATCTCGCCACGGCGGGCGGCCTCGCTGAGGGTCGAGAGATCGGCGTGCGACCAGGTGTGAGAGGCAATTTGGTGACCGTTGGTATTCATCTTCCGGATCACGTTCGTCCATGCCGGAGTAGTATCGATTGCGCCCTTTCCGTTGTTGATGCCGGTAACGTAGAATGTAGCCTTTGCGTTGTAGGAGTCCAGGAGATCGACCATGGCATCTGTATACACACCCGGGCCATCATCGAAAGTCAATGCGACCTCGCCAGGTCGAATACAATCGTCGAAATCCCCGTATGGCACACTCCCCACATGGGGCCGTGGAACCTGCTCTGTTGTACCACCGCTCGGCAGGGTACTAAATTCAACTCGTTAGCACCCGCAGAGCACGGCTCAATCGCATGAATTTGGAAGAGGAGGAGGAAAAATATACTCAGCGTCACAGACACCATATCCAAGCTGGCATAGAGGGGACATGCAATGATCTTTTGTATTACCGCAGTAACCGCCCTCAGAACAACACTGCCCCGTCGGGCAAGGTGTGCCGTCGGCCTGTCTCCCGCATCGCCCGGGCCCTCCACCGGTTCCGTTGTTAGGCGTCGTTACACATATACCGAAAGCAGGTTGGCAATTCTCCGAGCTCTGACAATGGAGATCGGTATCACCACAAAACCCTGCACAACACCGTTGATCAATTATTCAGCCCAACTGATCCTCCGATTCACACGGCAAATAAATAAATAAAAATCCTGAAAAGAGAGGAAGTAATTGCCCATACCATATTGCGAGCAACACCTATTCACAGTCTCGCCGCAAGTATACTGGTTCGGTCCACCGCAGGACCCATCCGGACTCGGTGCTCTCTTGACGAGGGGTTGTAGATCCTCTATATTCAGGAATCCGCTTCTCCCCGCAATTCTAGGACCGCTAGGATGTGCAAGAACACCCGTTATCGTCACCAGGAGCGCAGCAAGCGAGTATTTGGCATACATTGGGGCTGGGAATGGGATGAGGAATTGAAGCTGTACTGAATGGAATGCTCACACCTTCCACTCACTCAGAGCCTGATCGGTTCAATTGAAGGCGCTGGACATGGCCACCCTTTTATCGTGTCAATTCTCCTCCACAAAAAAGGAAATGGCACAGAGGAGGTCGGAAGAGAGCGGAAGAAGAAGAAAAAATGAAAAGAAAAAAACAACCTAAAACCCATGGAGGTGAGGAGGAGAGATGGGAAAAGAAGAAAAGAAAAAAGCCAACACTTACGAAATTGAGTGAAGTCTGCCAGTGATTAGTGACGCACGGGTGTGATGTGATATGGTAGGTACTGTACCAAGCCAGTACCAAGAGGGGTGGAATTGAATTGCTGGGACGGTGAACAGGAGGAGTATCCTTCCGGCTCTTTTCCCCTCCTGTTCCATAAGTGAATACAGTGAGAAGGGCTCTCAAGAATAAACTAAAAAATTGGACATACATGCAGAAACTCCGGAATTCAAGTTGTTTTTTCTTCATAACTACTACCGGTATCTTTTTATGGCCGCTTTCTGTCCCCGCCTAGCCCTGACTTTCCTAGTCAGGTCCTGGAACATGAACAGGGTCTTGTTGTTCCTGGTGCCTGTGGGTAGTGATGAGGTGCAAGTTTGGGGCGGTGCGATCATAAGAGACGGGAGAGGAGCTCTGATAGGTGCACCGCAGCTGAACCGAAGTGCGAAAGGCCAGACCAAATAAATCTGGAGTGTTCCTCCAAGACTATTACGGGGTGTGCTGGATGGTTGAGGCTGGGCTGGGCTGGCGGTTTTCTTTGCTTTTTGCTCCTCGTACACGATCGTGGAGAAGTACCACCACATCAACAGGCAGATACGCTCGCATGTTTGCCGTGATGGAGTTTCCAAGCATGGCACAAGTGGCCGATGGCTCAGGCTGGTGTATAGTACTGTATCGTAGACCTAAGCTATTGCTCTCAAGGCATTCCTGCAAGTGACATGAGTCTTGTGTTGAGCGCGGTTATGGGTGAAAATGCTGTACCGGTACCTTACTATACTTGTAGCACAGCTTAGTAGGGAGGGGGACTTACCCGCTCGAGTTTTAACTCCAACACTCCCCAAGCAATTCCCAGACTCGGAATCTCGACCGTTGCGGGACGATCCTTGCGCTGACGCTCATTACTACTTGTAGGGCCGATGTTAGCTATTATATTTACTACCTGTACAATACCGTAGTATAGTCGTTGTGTAGGAGTCGTTATATCCACCATTTTTATTTCATTACTTACGGCACTCGTACTGCAGCTAAGCTAGGATTCTGCAAGCGTCAAGGCTCCAACCTATCTACCGTAGCCCGGGCGAAAAGAAAAAAGCCCCCTCGCACAGGTATCCTGAGGCAGAGTACTATGGTGCTGTACCCATAAAGCTATTTTCTATACCCACAGGGAACACTCCCTCCATGGAATAAGCAAAGCAGGTCAGTGCACCTACTACTCGAATACCGGTACTCGAGTACTCACTTCTGAGTTCGGGTGTGATCGAGGCGAAGAAATAATAGACGATCCCTCGCTTCCGAGTCGACTCAGACCCACAAGCCCCCGGGGGAAAGAAAAAAGACTTTGTACCCACCATATACAGTACAAGTACAAGCACCAGTGGTGTACTATGATATTACGTACCGGTAGTTCGCCCGAACACTATGACTGTGGTAATCCTCCTCAGTCCAAAAAGATAACTATTCCAGATCACTTTGCGGTGCGGGCATCCGAAATGTGTCTCTGGGCTTGCAAGACGAGGCGTGAAGCGGGGCTGGTTACACTATCAACCGTTTCCGACAGTAGAGAGGCGTTGGTAGGAATCATGGCTCGAGTACGGTGTGGGACACAAGAGTTCGTTAATACCAGTACTATAGTTACAATACATGTATTGTACTGTACGAGTACAAGTACTGTGCTCCGAATTGGGCGTTTTCGGGACCCGGAATGACCAGTAGGTGCGGGGGAAGGGTCAGTGCATCTCCAGTACCGTATGGTAAAAACGTGTTGTACCGTTTTGATTACCGGTACCGAACTGTATATACTGAGTTGTACAGCACGATATCATGGAGTCGCAGCTGGATTTCGGCGTACGGAGTGAGTTAAAGTTAACTCAACATAACTACCGGTATTCCAATGGGTTACGGGGGTTCCGGCAGCTTATCCAACATAAATCCACTCCTATAGATATGCGTGATATAGATCGTCAGGAGAGCTGTTCGCTAGGGCACACCTGCGGCGCAGGTAAATTCGTAGCGCGATGGGCCAAGAGTTGTTTAACCAAACGATTGTGAACTTGTCGTGCAGAAATACGGTATCACACTTCCATGCGCTCCCGGTTATATAATATCTGACCCATAATATAAGGGTTCCAAATACCATACATGGTGCGGTAAAAAAAACTCTTGAAATCCGTTATCTCCACCTGCCCTGTAAGCTCCGAATCCAGAGAGTAATGGTGCTAGGAAGAGTCGGCGCTTTCCTATCACGGTAAAATATCAGCCCGCTGGAGGTTCTGTCATACTTGATAACATAAATTTCGTAGAACGGATTCCCCAAGAAAAAAAGAAAAAAAAGCACGGCTCGATGCCATCTACTGTACATCGCATGCGCGACCAGATGTCCGTCCGTGGGTTCGTTCGTTCTGCCCAATTCGAAACAGCGAAGACAGATGGTACCCCCTGTCCCTTAAAGCTGTGGTTAAATTAGGAAGAAGGAAAAAAGAAGAAAAAAAACCCTTATGAAAGATTCCCGTCCGAAAACAGCATAAGTAATCCAGAATTGAATGTGCTGTAATACAGCTGTACTCGAGTACGAGTACAGTACAGTGCCAGCTGTGATATTATCGCGTCACGATTTCACTACTCTTAGGAGAATGCCTATGGTAACCTATATCCAACGGGCCGAACCCAAGGGTTACCGCTTACAATACGGTGGTTCACGGTACAGGACCGCATGCTATTCCGTGACATTAACAATAACAATAATTTATCCCGCACCCAGCCCCAATAGTCCTTGGCATCGGCGTTGAACAAGTCGAGCACGAGGCCACATAGGCTATGCCATGCCATGCCGTGTCAGGGATTCACTTTCACGATACCAACAAATATCACAATAGACCTTGCGAAAAGACTCTGGATGCCAGGGAAAAAAAATCTTGTTCTGGACTAACCAGATCGCTAGGATCTGGCTCCCCAGTAAGACCTCCCCCAAACCCAAACAGTACAAGTCCCGGCCAGTCGTAACTCTATGATCCCAGGCCTGACGTACCAAAAACCCTAACCTAACCCGCGCTTCCAGGGGCTCTGATAGGCAGGTACCACCTCCGGTTCTGAGGTTATGATCGCTGATAGAGCTAAGCCCCTCGGTGTCTAATCTTGCCCTCACTTTCGCCCCACTGGTACGTGAAGTACTTGTACTAGTACTCGTAGTCTGGCATGGCCACAGCCTCCAAAGGAGACACTACCGTACAGTAGACAACGACTTGAAAATGGTCTCCTGCTCAAGAATTTCAAAGACATCCGGGCCCTGGAAAGGACCTATGCTTCGGTGGGTAGGCACTCGCTCTGATGAAGTTTAAAGCAGTGTCGGGGGGGTACAAGTATATCGCTAGGGGGGGGGGGCATATGTCGGGAATGCCGATACTCGAGTAAGCACAAGAGCCCTCAAAGTACTCGTACATAGCTCTTGGCCAAGCTTTATTTGAGCAGATATGCTGATAGTGGCATGCAATGAACCTTGCACGAGCCGTAAGGCTCGGCGGATTTCGAACTCTGAGCTGCCTACCGTACCGTATCTGACTTCCCGGCATCCCTACCGAAACGACCTATCTCCTGACACCGCTCTACAACGAGTACCGTACTGGTACCGCAGCACGAACTTGATGAGTACGAAGAAGCAAAGAGATGAAGGGAAAAACAAAAGCCAACAATTGAGTAGCGTACGCACAGAAGGGTCTGATGCTTTAACGGTTCAGTGCGAGAAGTCTCAGCCTTGGTTGGGAGCCTTGAGGTTGCATTAGGCTCGACACGTCATAAAGTAACACTAAGGCAGGGTACTAGTACTAGTACAAGGACTCATGCCATCAGTTGAACTGGGTAAGTTATGGTGCAGGGTGAAACACGGCTTCACAGAGCTTCTCTGGAGTCCCACTTGGACCACCCGGCGGAAATCTCTACTCGAGTAAGCTAAGCATGGTCCACTTGCTTCCCCAATTCACACGCAACATCTGGGAAAACTTGATTCTAGCCCCCAATAACCTCAGAGATTCTACGGTAGTCCTAAAGGTAGAGAGAGTGAAAATCCGTCTAGCTCAACCGTCTTAGTTATTTTCTAAGGGAATGGTGTCCCTGTCTTAGCTAACTTGAAAAAGAAATTCACTTCAGAAGCCAAATTGAGGATCCAGAGTCGAGAACTGCATTCCCCCCGCAGTCTGGTCTGGTCAAAAATCACGAGCGAAAGTTGACCTGGACAGTGGCCATTATCTCAATCGCAATAAAGTACCCGCATCTTGGCCTCCCCCACCCGCCCCACTGTGCTCGTACTCGTACCGTACAGTACAGTAACCGTTCCCCTTCCTAAAAATACTCTGAGCACAATGCGGCAACTCCCCCCTCCCCACCAGTATTGCTCCCCACTCACCCCCCCCCTCTCTCTTCCTTACCCCGAGTCAACTTGACCGACCGACCTCGCCACCGTTTGGTAAATCCCCGATGGAGAAAGCCCAGCTCACGCAAAAACGCCACTCGCAAGCCAGACTCGCACAGTGCTCGTACTTGTACCATCCCGGGCCTGGTCCCAATCCCCCCTCCACGAACTGTCCCGTTCGAACCTCAGTACCGCTCCATCCAAACCAATACTTGTATAAACGACGGAAGCGCGGAACTTACTCACGCCGAGCCTTGTAACAACAAGCAGCCGACTGTGCTACGATATGGTACTGTACGGTCACACAATTGTTTCCGAAATGCTTGCTCTTTTAGACTTGACCAAGACTTTTTACATCGAGTCGTGGTTTACGAGTACTTTCCGTTCCCCCCCTTACATAATACTTGTACCAGCACTGGAAATAAGTCGATTCCTCTCCCTGCTCACGATCTACCCATCTACCGTACGATATCAATCAAAAAAAGACCACGATGCGGATAACATTACAGTACAGTACTATTTTCGCCTCCTCCCCTTCCCCCTCACACCCCCTGCAAGCCAACACGCGAAACATAACTCCAGCCAGCAGCATCATAAGTATTAATACCATACCATACTCGTACAGCACACACACACACCCGGGACATGCTGAAATAGAATAACCCATGTAAGGTACGGCAGGAACCCGTACCTTACTTCCTTACCTGACACTCCACCCTTCGCCAATCTAGCCGAGAATTCACTCGTTCCTCACTAAAACATATCATATCATATCATACCACACCGCAAAGACAACGTGAAAAGAAGAAAAAAAGAAAAAAAAACGCCTCCTCCAGCCACTCACAGCCCCCCCTCAAAAGCCCTTTTTTAAGGGAATTTTCAATCCCCGCGATCGACTCTACTCAACTACTCAACTCGACCGAACGAACTTGCTCCGTCAATCGAAATGACGCGACGAGACTGTATTTGGCAGGCCTTAGCAATGCACTGATGCTCAATCGCATCCGGTGGCGCCGGCCATCTTTTGTTTTGATATTATTATTATTTTGCGCTGAGGTCTCGTGTGATATTGACGCACTTATGCACGAGCACCTTGCACCGGTACGTATGTATCATAGCTCGCGGCGCAATGCAATGCTACTTGGATTATGCTAGGATATAAAGAGTAGAAATTTTTGTGGTTCGGTGCTAATTTATGGATTAGCGACGGCTGAGTGGTGAGCAGGTGTATATTCACTGGGTGTCACTCGCATATTGGAAGGGAGGGGTTTTTTTAATGGTTGGGTCTGGATGCTTGGAGACCCCGGGCGGGGTGGGGGGGTGCCGGCGCCGTGCAGAAGGCCATGATGCTGTGCAGGTTTCTGATTCCTGATCTACGTGATCCGCGGGGATTGGGCAGGTGGAATATGTATGGTGTGGTAGGTATTAGTGTCTACAAAAAATTGATCCTTGAAGGTTGTGATGGATCTACTGTGCGGCGTTTGGGATGTGAATATAGTCAGGAAGTCCCCTGCGGTCGTCCGGTGGCCGTTGAAGAATGAACGTGCTCATATTTTGACGGTCTACAAAAAAAAACTTTCGCAGCCGGGAAAATCCTTCTGCTTCAATTCAATATCAACTCGGTTCTGTTTTCAAATCCCGGGTAACAGCCCTTCCAATGCTCCCGATTCGTCCAAACTGATGCCAAACAAGGGAGACTCAGGATCGTGCTGGAAAGAACTATGATACTCCTTCACCAGTGCTAATGCCTCCACATCCTCCTCTGTATCCTTCCACCACTCTTTGACATCACGGCTCCTCGTGTACAATGGTATGCCGTCGTGTGTCGGTGCATTGCCATGCCGTATTTCTCTCCTCGTGGCGCGTTGTGCCCTAGGGTTCATCGTCACGATAAGGCTAAATTGCATCTTAATCTCCTCCATCCTCCTCAATGTTGGATCATCCATCTTCCCTGCCGTTGCGGGATCAAGCTTTCGTTGGAGGATAAGCTGCTGTCGCCTAATCTCCGCCGTAGAAGGAAGGTCTTCGTGGTCTGGGCGGTGGTACCGGAGGTACCTTAGGACGACCAATTGTTCAGCCTGGATCCTGTCAAGGAGGATGGTATTCGGGTCGTTGACAGGCGCTTCCTGGCAGATGCGTACCGTGTACAAAACACAATCAATAGCTTCGTTCCACTGCCGAAGGTGGGCATGTGCGATCCCAGAGTGGCTCGATAGTACGGCTTTGTCTGCCTTTCGTTTTTCCTTGGTACCGCCGCTGTGAACCATATCCACCAGATCTATCATCCGTTGATTGTGCGCGATTACGTCGCCCCATTGACTGGTGAGGTAGGCGATTTCTTGCAATCGACCGTGGCACAGGAATTCTCCTTTTGTGGATCCTATCTCCCGGGAATTCTCCAGCGCTGTGAGTAGTATATCCCTCGCACCGGCAATGTCGCCACTGTCTCTCTTCATCTCCGCTTCCATGATCGCGGACCCGGGGAGGTATTTCGATGGATCGTTCGCTTCGGCTTTCCCCAGCTTTCTCAGTGCCTCGGCGAGGGTAGTGATGCCGGCTCTTGCTTCGTGCACGGCCAGCCAGCCGTCGATATACGTGAGGTCCATTCCCAGTTTCACTGCCGATTCCCTGAGCTCATCGCAGACTTCTTTTATTGATTGCTGTGCTTTGGCCTTCTTGGTTTCCCTGGACCGGCTACGAGAATTATTGGTGTCGAATTCGAGTGAGAGTGTCCGCAAGTTTTGCAATCTTCGGAGGTCCTGTTCTACGTCGCCATTGCCATCGGCTTTGAAGTTGATTCTAGGATCCGACTCGAGGAGTTTGTGCACTTCATAGTTGGCTCCAGATACATCCCCCATGGTTTCGTACACAAAGGCCCCCGGCAGAAGCCCTCTGCGCGCCTTTGCTTGTGCGCTCATTGTCGCAGCTATGAAGTTCGCAATGAGTAAATGTTCGCGGAGGCCTTCCGGTAATTTTTTGGAAAGCTCGGAGTACTCGTTGGATTTCTTGACTTGTTCGATGAATTTCCCTGTCGTGTTCTTTGAATTCCTGTATCTGGAGCAGAGGTAGTTCGAGCAGTGGAAGACGAGTTTATAAACAGGGAAAACACCTTCTAAGGGCATATCCCTCTCTGTCGCCAGGAATGAGTCGAATGCTCCGATCCACATCTCAGAGATGACCTCTAGGACGTGGCAGTCACTGCCGCCGCGCCCAGCCTGATACATTGATATTAGAGATACTACAGGACTAACTGGCAATAACGAGAGTCCGGTTGGTGTTGGCGGGAGGCATGAGAGTGTTATCATTATGGAGTAAATGTTTGTCTTCTCGAGCTGGATACGACTATCCCAGTCGTCCTCGAGGGTTTGTATTTTGTAGTAGTCCAGGAATGCGGCGAGGCACGCACTCGCATGTGCCACAGCGCTCAGGTGTCCATCACCAAACATCACTCCATGGAGTCCAAGCGTCAAAACCGGGTTGACCCTATAATATTGATCCGGTTTGAATTCGTCCCTTGTTAGATAGTCTTTCTTCTGCAGGAAGGAAATTATGCGGTGGTACTCGGAGCGTAGCTTGGAGCGGGCAAGAAGTTCCTTTGCCTCCGCTTTCTCCACCGGGCTCAAATCGCGGGGATTCTTAGCGTCAAACCTCCGTATTGGTAGGCAGAGGGTGTCAGGGTCATTGTGATTAAAGTATCCATTAAAACAAATATGAATCAAGTAGTCGTCGATGTCTTTCGGGATCCGTCCCCAGAACGGAGCAATGATATACATTAGACGGCTCAGGTCAGAATGGGAAACCTCATCCGAACTGGGAGCCCCGTCTGAATCGGGAGGGATTAAATCCCGAACAAATTTGGCCCTTGCACAATCCTGGCTGTACCGGCCTGCGGCCGCGGGAACCGCCAAGAGGCTTCCGCAGTATATTCGCTCCGGGGTATTTTCCTTGGTGTCGAGCGGGAGCTTGCAGGAGAATTCTGTAACGGCCCCTGGAAGACCGTCGCAGAGCTCAATAAGCTTGGTGTAGAATTCCATGAAGTCCGCACTTGGCTCAAGGGCCTTCCCCTCATTAGATTCCCCCAGTTCAATCGGTAGTAGCGTCGCCATATCGCATCTAGATAGGACTCCCTTAGTAGCCTGCTCCTCCACACACATGGCGCGGACAACTCACGGTGGCAATCCCTCGAGGATATACGGGTTGACATCCACCCAAGGTGAATTGAGTTCAGCTGTGACTATCACAATCGTTTCACCACCACTAACTTCCTCCAAAAAACCCTCTAGAGCGCGCCGTTCAGAATTCCAAAAGACTGGTCCGGTGCTGTCCTCGGGCTGAATCTTTTGCAGAAGTTCCGGTTTCCAATGTTCAACACCATCGAAAACGATCATGCACCTGTTCAACTTCAACCAGTTCACCAGTCGCCAGTACGCGGAGGTTTCGCTGGCATCTGGGACGGCCAACATCTGAATCTCTAATATTGTTGGCATGCCGATGAATTCCCGATGGATTAGGAGCAAAATTTCGCTCAAGGTGTCTCCTGATGCTTCAAGATCTATGCGCAGACTATGGTTAACTAAGTCAGTAATACCCCACCACCAGCACAGATGTTTCAAGAAGGCGGTTTTCCCTGCCGACAGCCAATACCAGTCAGTATACGTTTCGCTGTAGAGTATAGCTGCGTTTTTCCTCTTACCAACTCTTCTCCTCCCTGTGACTATAGCAACACCATTCCCGCAAAGAAGCAATATCTCCAGTCTCAGGATGTCCAGTTCTCTGCCTACAAGATTCATGGGGGCTTTGCGCTCCTTCGTGAGCAGAATCATGTTCAACCTCATCATGACACCCGGATTGATCACGGCCAGCTCTCCGCGCTGATAAAAAACTGGGGCGATATGATCCACTACCGGTACCCGATTCCCACAAGAATCTCTCATCATCTGCTCCATCATTTTTGCCCGTCCAGCATGTGCTGCCACAGCGAAGCTGGATGTGTCGATTAAGAGCGAACGGTAGAAACCCATCAGAAAAGACCCCGCAGCACCAGACATTAATTCATAGGACATAGCCACAACTGCAGAAACTCCACGGTTGATGAATTTGAGTGCGACACTCTCCTCACTAGCGTTGGCCGAGTTGCAGGAATTCACGATGACGGAGGTCACATTGTGCAGACAGAGTAGGTCGGCGACGTCAGAAGCAGACTTCCAATTTACCGTTGTAGGATCCTTATCGGAGACAAAGCATAACGACGGTCTGTTAACACCCCGTTAGGACAGTCATTCTAACACTTTGTTTTCGTGGAGATACAAACGTTTTCTCTCCTGCCATTTTATCCACTCGCACCCTTCCGTGCATGTCAAAATGAACCAATCGGTAGTAACCCCTAGGCCTCGTCTCCAAGCTTGCCTTGAACAACCCCCATGTGCCCGGTCTTACGATCTCCAGATCAACGGGTGTTTCAGGCGGAAGGTCCACCAGGACTTTCACTAGTTCTGCTGCCACAAGAGTATGTCCGGATTCACCCTCGCCTCCGCCTGGGTTCCTCGCCGCTACAAGTAGTATGCTAAAACACCTGTTCACGATATCCGGAGAAGACTGCCTCAACTCCAAATCCGCGATCGCCCTGCGAACCACTATCCGCCCCTTTATTCCCCGCGGCCAAAGGTCAAGGTTTTCGAGTATTTCCCAATGTATCATATGTAGGGATAGCTCGGTCGGCTCCGAAGGCAGGGTCTCCACGTCGAGAAAAAAAGTGATTCCCGCCTCCGCCCCCCCAGTATTTTGCTCCTGTATGTGGTCGACGACTTCTTCTAATGCAAACCCCTTTATTAACTCGGCAGCATATTTTCTCAGGCTGGAGGACACGTCGCGAGCTCTCGAGTGCGAAAAGGGTGAAGAAGTCGCAAACTCCTCAAAATACCATTCAAGGTTCTCTTCATCGTTCGCATCGAATGGGTTCTTTACTTCAACTGTTCTGACAAAACGGCCTTCGTCGCAGTGGACAGACGCTTTCCATGTTGCCTCACCAACTAGGTTCAGGGTGGTGGAGATTTCCCTAATTTGTATCACGGCGGGGATCTCTTGTTTCTCCTCAATATCGAGAAACTACCCCGGATTAACCACTTTGTTATCATCCACTTGAAAGAAAACCCCCAAAAAACAGTGATCATACCTCACGAAACGCGTCCTCAAGGAGTGTCAGTTGAGACATGATTGCTCGTTTTTATCTTACTCCCTCCAAGGTTTCCCGGCCTCGGTGGGCTTGGGTGTCGTTATGTATAGATTGGATTGCCTCAGGTTATCCTGTCTGACGTGAATAAAGTGTGCTCGGGTCCACAACCGGTTGATGATAAATTCAGCTCACCGTTGAGGCGGGGTAAGATCGTCTGGCACGCATGATCTTTGGGCACCGGTATTGTGCCGTACAAGGTTGTTTGTATTCTACAGTACTTGTGCTACGTTAGTCGAGACTCCGATGCTGGGATAAATTCGCACCTCATCATTGCGAATGCTAACCGGTAGTTGAGATTGTGTATGATGTCCTTGATATGGAGGAGGAGAATGCACTAATAGATTCCTGCGCACGAGCATCACAGAGGCCCCCTGTATAAAACGCTCAGAGAATCGACCTGACAAATTTGAATGTTGCGCCCAGTGCTATCATCTATTATGATCGCCAGAGCATCAATCATATAAAACAAGCCCTTGAGGAATGACCGGTCACGTGAGCACACATGTCAGGACACGAGCCATGGGCCAGGAAACGCCAAGAAAATAGAGGTCCGGCGGCGCGGACTCTCTAAGCAACTTGAAAGCAATACGGAGCATGACAGGACAATGTCGCCGACAGGATAATGTCGCACGCCGGGTGAGGTAAGATATTAATAATAATAATTATGACAGTAAACCTTCTTATACCAGTACCAATGCTGCAGCAAATTACTCTCGCTGTCAAGTTGGACTTTAACAGCTAAGGCGACAAACCTCACATAAAGTACCCAATGCCCAATGCAAAAGAATGAGTAACAAGTAGTGGATACAGGTAATAATCAATGATAGCGAACAGCTGAAAAGCAGATACATACCCCTAAACAGATAACTCCAGAAACTAAAAGAAATACTACAAATACCAAAAAACCATAGCCATTCTGATGAACCATGATTCCTTATATCCTGTAACAGCCCACAGCCTCTATGAGTCCCTGGTACTATAGGAGGCCATGTACTAAATAGGAAAGTAGAGGAAAAAAAAAAAAACTTCCGATACTGAGTACCTCATAGCAAATAATATTCCCAGTAATCTATAACCTAAAACATTCAATCATCAGAATATATACTCAATAGGCAAGCCCAATCTAGAGTTTCTCCTCCAGCAACATCTTCACCCCTTCCCTTCATGTTCACCCATACTGTACTCAGCTATAGAGAATCACGGCGGTCAGAGGTTGTACTTACTTAACCATCAGCCTTCTCATTTGATGACCTCTTCTTCCCCATCCTCCTTCCATTTTCTTTCATGAAATCCCTCTTTTTCCGCTCTTGTGCCTCCTCTTTCTCATTTCTCTTCCGCTTCTCAGCCTGTATATACTCTCCGGTACGGGGAGTAGACTTTCCAGCCGTAGAATCTGGAATAATTCTTCCATCCTTTCCTGTTCCTTCAAGCCTTGCAAGCTCGGCTCTCACAGTACCAAGCTCCATAGTTGCAGTTGCAGCTTCAACCCGTGACCTATCTGCATCCACAGATAAGCCATTTAGCGTTGTTTTGATGTCTTTTAGCAATAGAATTGTAGGATTGTGCTGTTAGTGAATTTCTTGATCAAGGGAGTTGACTGCTTGAGCGGTCCAGTCCTGAAGGGGCATGGTCACGCGAGGAGAATCAGAAATCTCAGGGGTAGCTTGATGCTGGAACGGAAGCCTTGCTTGAACTAGTTCATGGTTAATAGAAAAAATGCCAGTTTTTTGAAATGCTGTCGCAGGAAGTTGGGAAGATAAAAAGAAGGTTTTTTGTTGGGCAGGATATAGGAAGGTAAGAAAATTATGTTTCCCAATCCCTGTTACACCAGTATTGACAAGGCTCAAAATTTCTTTGAAATAAAAATGCTGCAGGGTTGAAAAAAATACTGATATTAAGTGGTTGTAAAATATGCGTCACATGAGAAGCAAGGCAATAAACTAGGATCATATGATTCCAGCAGAACTCTAAGGCTGCATTTGGCTCATCAGGATTAGACTAGGATTTAGACTTTAAGTTCAGACTTAAAATCCTAAGTCTAGTCTAACCTACAAAGTCTGGACTTTAAATTCTAGATTTATAAAAACACAAGATTTAGATTTAGACTTTTATTAATTAATAATCTATTTTATACCTTATAAAAAATTTCGCAATTAGAAATATTATAAGTAAGGAGCTATTTATATTAGAGTTTACATTACTATTCACTTTATTAGGATATTTCTGTATGACAGTTTAATGAACAATATCTAACATTTCAATTTTACCTTTACTTGTTTCTATTTTTTTTCTCCAATTATATCATAATAAATCTTTATCAATTCATGAAAGTTTAAAACAAGTTATAATAGTAGAAGACCAGTGGTAGAAGATTGTAGCTGCTATCAGTCTGAGCATCACCCTTGGTACTAGTACTTGAGGGAATAAACAATAATAGCTGAAAGGTAAAACAGATCACAGACTTCAGAACAGTTTATAGTTTTGGTGTATATAGAATCTGATTATAAAAATAGAAAAACTATCATGTCATGGTATGAATCATTTACTAAAGTGGAAAAGGTACACTATAGGATGTGGTTACTTTAGAGTAAAATTTATATGACACAGTTCTTGAAAGTCCAGACTTTGAATCCTGATCTAATACTGAAGTGCAAATCCTAGTCTAATCCTGGTGAGCCAGGATTAAGACTTAAACCCTAGATTATGATACTAGTCTGGACTTTAAGTCCAGTTGTATTTGGCTCACCAGGATTAGACAAGGATTTACACCTCAATATTAGATTAGGATTCAGAGTCTGAACTTTCAAGAACTATATCATATAAATTTTACTCTAAAGCAACCACATCCTATATCGTATACCTTTTCCACATCAGTAAATAGTTCATACTGTGACATGGTGGTTTTTCTATTTTTATGATCAGATCCTATATACACCAAAACTATAAAATTTTCTAAAAACATATTTTACCTTTCAGCTATTTTTATTTGTTTCCTTAAGCACTAAGGGTACTGCTGATGGCAGCAATCTTCTGCCACTAGTCTTTTACCATTATAACTTATTTTAAACTTTCATGAATTAATAAAGATTTATTATGATATAATTGGAGAAAAAAAATAGAAACAAGTAAAGGTAAAATTGAAATGTTAGATATTGTTCATTAAACTGTCATACAGAAATATTCTAATAAAGTAAATAGTAATGTAAACTCAAATATCAATAGCTTCTTACTTATAATATTTCTAATTATGAAATTTTTTATAAGGTATAAAATAGATTATTAATTAATAAAAGTTTAAATCTAAATCTTGTTGTGTTTTGTAAATTTAGAATTTAAAGTCCAGACTTCCCAGGACCAGACTACTAGCCGATTTTTAAAGTCTCCGGAATGGAGGTGATGGTAAGTTATACCAAGACTCAAATTATGTGTGGATCACCTAAGACCTCTCTCACCAGTTTTCCTGTAGGTGATTCACCTTTACCAAGGTAACACTTACACCACGGCCTGATAGCTTACACCTAGCCATTCCGGAGACTTTAAAAATCAGCTAGTAGACCCAGGATTTTAAGTCTGGACTTAAAGTCCAAATCTTAATCTAATCCTGGCAAGCCAAATGCAGCCTAAACTTAATAGCCAGATCTGGATAATGGTCTAGAAACCTTGTAATCTAATTTTTATCTAGCCTCCTACCTGTATCCCCAGTTCTCTTCTCATGAAAAAAGTACTATACTTTTTACCATATTCTAATCATAGTGGAAATCTCCAGTTATCCTGCTCCTTATACCAAGCAACTACTATTTTCTCTTCTATGGCTGAAACTAACTAGTTATCAACCTATACAAGATACAGGGTGGTTTGCACTCCTGTATAGTGGTAGTAGAGATTTGACTTTAGAATATTAAAGGTCTCAGCAGCCATCTGAATAATATCCTGTCAACCTTCCTTCAAAGACTTAATTGGAGTAGAAATTCATGTCTCACAACTGGTATTATTGTACTCCTTGATTGCTAGCATCATGGGGTGATTTGGTGGCCTCCGTCAGGTTTCTGAGTAGGTCAACCCCCAGAACAACTACTCCTGCAGCCTTGACAAACATTCTCTTTACATCGCTATGTATCCCACCACTAGTATGTCTACTGGGCTCCAGCGCGATTGCGGCATCCCAGATGCGCGTCATCAGCATTCAATGGATGCGAGCACGAGGGTGAGATATTCACACTCTCTGAGCAGGCATAGTTAGCCCAGACATACGACCAGATTCATTTCAGTGACGTACAATACTCCCTTTCGAGGCTGTTTGCTTTAACGGAATTGTTCTAAGTTCATGTTCAAGCTCTTGTACTAGCACAGAAACCCACTTTTGGTTGTTCAAATAACGTACCCCGGAAAGTGCGGAAGAGGTGCCGTGATAAGTGCTTTTCTATATTATCATACCTCCTAAACTGCAAAGCTCCCCCCCCCCCCCCGTTCACCATGGCCCCGATAAGCCCTACGACAGCAAATACCCACAACGGTGGGCCCCCAGACCCAAATTCAGGACCATATATGGTCATACCTCTATACCGATTCCTTTTTTTCCCCTTTTCCTTTTTGGGTTTACTGTGAGAGTGGTCTCCCGAGTTTGTGAGGTTGTGTCAGGTGAAGTTTGAACACTGCAGAGGGTTTACGATGCCCACTGTGGACATGGACCTCGCAACTCAGGATGCATACCAGCATACCGCCGGACGCCGACCCTTTTGGTCACCCTCTGTTTGCTCAGCGGCAAATCCAAAAATTAGCATCTCGGCATGGATTTGTTTGTATGTATAGACGTAAGTAAGCATGTATGTATGTATATATGCATGTTCCTCTACCAGAGGACTCATCTCCCACCGTTCTCAACCAAAACTCACTTAATAGAAGGCCAGAGCATAAGTGACGGAATTGACGAGGGGCCAATTGAAGCAGTCCTAAGGAGTCTGTACCTCAAACCCCTTGTTTCCATGGTCATTATTGCGGGGGTATTCGTTATTCTATTTCCCTTCGTGAGAAGAGTAGATTTTAGACCACCCCTGGCCCCACTGTGAAGAACCGGGACATCATAATAGGACGTGAGTCCCCGTAGCGTCCTCACTTCTTCCCATCCGAGAAAGCAAATCTCGGACGTCTTAGCGCAAGCACCCGTAGGAAACTCAGAACAATTAATCCTAGTTACTCTACAGAAGAATCCGCGTCTTTTACAGGATGAAAGAAAGAAAGAAAAAACACCCTTCCTGGTTATGATGCTTGCACCGCATTCGAATAAACTATTATAGTAAGGAAAGTCACACTCAAGACACCAAACTGGGGTATTTCCTCACTGTAGGATTCCCTCTCAACCGGATGTTTTGCGATTAAAATTTCCCTTCTCTCTTCCTTCGTCATGCACTACCCTATTTTCCAGAATTCCAGAATTGCCATGTTTTTTGACAGGCAGCGGGGAGGGAGGTTTTCCTCCAAGTTAACAGGGAGAGCATCACAGGGAGCTCGCGCAGTCCGACATAGGCCGGAGCCATCAAAATTCTTGATACTGTAGAGGTTGTCACTTCACGTTGCATCATCAAATCCAATAGATGCCGTTCCAGCCAAGCTTACAGTCCTCAAGAGGCAAATTCCAGAGTATTTCGGAGCCTCTATTGCAAGAGTTATACATGATACCTACAGTAAGGAACAGAACTACAAAACCGCCCTCTCTCGGATTCATAATAGTATATCCAAAGCTTGCGTTGGGCACCCCCCCCCATTCTATATACCGTACGATATCACGCATCATGTTTTACCCCCCCATTAGGCGGGATATGATACATAGGAGCTAATCTACCGAACCTTTGTCATTCACCTATCTCAACGCCAGGTACGCCAGGTACGCCACTATAGCTCTCTCTCCTCAGATACTGGTGTCGGATCGTGCGAATGGGGCAGTAACATCAGCAGATAATCCTAACAGTGCCCAGCTTTTTCTCCCGTAATGAGAAAAATTGGCGATATCCACGAGATCTCAAGAAAACAATTTGTCCCATTCTCTGTTGAATTGCGCCCCCAGCTCTACACCACCCCACTGCCGGGTAAATGCGCAGATCTTGTACTTTTCATGTTTCCTGTCCATCCTGCTCGTCCTTCCAGTTATGCTCTGCCGGTGTAGCACGAGGGGGGAGTTCGATAGAAGGAAGCAGTACGACTAATCTAATTGGATCTTTTACATCATGTGTTTTTGTTGTTTTTCACGTTTTGGTATTGCACACCACCTGTATAGGTTACATCATAGATAGATATGGTGTCATACAGGCTACCGAACTGTACCAGCACAATGACTAACCAGAAACCCCTCAGGGCCATCTCGCACCACGCAAAATAATTGAACTGCGCACACAGAAATCCAAGATCACTACAGCATGTAAACGATCAAAGCCCAATCGACGCAAATTCCACTGATATGATACTACAATGCAAATTCCCATCAATAGACTAACTACTCACCACAGCACCACACCAAAACTACCAAACTCGAAATCTAGCCCATCAATAATCGATATAGCATACAATGCACAAACCAAGTCACTCACATCAATCGGTTGCGCACACAGCTCGTGTGTATGTATAATATTTGCATATTTGCTTTGTTCTGTCTTTTTCCTAGCCGACCTTGCCCGGCTTTGATTGACGGACTGACTATTCAGGATACGGTACAACAGAGCACAGTACAAGCGATGGCCAGGACGACGGACAGAAAGATGGACAAAACCCGCACACGGGAGAAGTACTCAAACCAATGAGAGAAAGAAAAGAAAGAAAAGAAAAGAAAAAGTTAAGTAGTAGTAGAGAGAATAAACAGAGTAGAGTAAAAAATAAAATAAAAAAATGAAAGCAACAATAGCCACAAGACCGGGTGAGAAAGCGATACCAAGCGCGGCACAAGAACGAAAACCAATGACGGGAAAAAAAGAGAATAGCTTTTTTGTCATGGCTCTCTCCCCCAACCCGAGATCACGAAGCCAACTAAACTATCCAAACCACCCCCCACCATCACCCCCGCCAAGGCCCGCATAACCGTCCATGCCGCTAATCCCCATTCCCACGCCCACACCTACGCCGACACCGACACCAAACTCGACCTCCTCGCCGACTTCAGCGGTATTGGATCCGGTGGTTGGGACTGCAGTACTAGTGGTGGTGGCATTACCGGCGGTGTTGTTGGCATCGACGTCGACGTCGTCTTCGCCGACTGCGTCTTCCTCTTCCTCTTCTTCTTCTTCCTCATCATCTTCGTCCTCGTCCTCCTCGTCCTCCTCGTCCTCCTCCTCTACTTCTTCTTCATCATCATCCTCGTCAGCGACTTCGATCTCTTCAGGAACCTCTGAGATAACGGCTCGTTCAACCTTCTTCTGCTGTGGTTGGGGCTGTTGCTGCGGTTGCTGCTGCAGCATTCCGCTATTCCCGCTAACAGTGGTGGTCCTCCCTGCCTCGAGGGATTTGCCACCGTTTTTACTCCCCTTTGGACGGCCGCGTTTGCGCTTAGTGTTTGCATTTGTGGTGGACGGCTGGTTGGAGGAAGAGGGATCGTTGCTGGTGCCGGCCATTGCGGCGGTGGCGCTGGCGAGGAGAGTTAGGTCTGCGGTCGAAATTGCTGGGTCTTCCAGAGGGTGATGGGAGGAATGGCGGTGGGGATGATGAGCATGTTGTGGAGTTTGCGGGGTCGGGGGGGAGGCCGCTGTAGTCGAAGGGCTGCCGGTTGAAAGTGTTGTTGGAGGTTGATGGCGGGGAGAGGTGCTTGAGGCAGAGGTTGGTTCAGTGTATTGCGTCCAGAAGGAGGACTGGTCCTGGGGATGAGCACGATGCTGTTGTTGGTGGGAGCGGTGCGGATGCTGTTGTTGAGCGGAGGTGGAGGGTGCGGGGTCTTTGGCTGCGGCAGTCGTAGAAGATGAAGCCGTAGATGTCGAAATTGGCATAGCCTTGCTGCGAGTTTTACTCCCTTTTGGCCTTCCGCGCTTGCGCTTTGGTGGACTGTCCGGCGAATCTTCTACTTGTTGCTGTTGCTGTTGCTGCTGCTGTTGTTGCTGTGGCGGTGGTTGTTGATACGCGGGTTGCTGCCCTTGAGGAGACGGTGGTGGTGGCTGCTGAAGTTGCTGCTGCTGTTGCTGCTGCTGCTGCTGTGGATGCCTGCTGTACTGCTGCATTCCTCCGGCAGGTCCGGCTATACTTCTACCGCCACCAGGAAGCATGGTCCACCCCTCTTCCTTCGGATCCTCCTGCTCTCCATTCACCTGTGAATTATCCCCTGAACCCCCCTGTCCACCCTTGTGTCTCTTATCCGCATCACCATGTATCTTCTTCCCCTTGCCCGGCTTCAGTCCCAGCTTCTCCCTCACTCCAGCTTCAGTAGTATGCTTGCCGACAAAACACCACCCACCCGTCCTATCATCCTCCTTCCTCGGCCACATCAACAGCTCATTCGACGTGCTCTGCACTTCTCTCCCGCAACACCTCCATTTCCAGGTAGTCTTATAATTATTCTTACGCCTAGCAGGAGTAACCACCTCGAGACCTGATGGAAAGTCCTTGAAGGGGTGCTTAACCGCGCACGTAGCTTCCGAGGAAGGATCAGAGGCGGGAGTAGCCCTCCAAGTGGGGTTGAAATGCTTCAAACAGCGCGTGCATTGTAGCAGCTTCCCCGCATCTGCCTGATTGCGCTTGGCGGAGGTTGATGGTGGCTGTGGCGGTGCGACAGGAGCTGGCTGAGCTTGTGGACCAGGCGCAATGTACGGCAGCGGTGGAGGCGGCATAGTAGCTATATTAGCTGCGATGGGCACGGTTGCAGAACTGCCATCATTCAACTTGGCCTTCTTCCCGGGCGGTCTCCCACGCTTTTTCTTCTTGGGAGGTTCCTGAGGACTGGCGGCGCTGTTGGATGGTCCAGGAACTGCTCCTGGGCTGGGGGCTGGCAAGGGTGGGAAAATCTCACCAATGCGGCGGAGGAGGCTACCCTCCAAGACACTCGGCCAGCTAATTAGAGCATCCGAGATGACCTTGACAACCGCCTCCGGAGCCGTATTACGTAGAATATTCAGAACCCGAGAGAGCTCCCAGACCGCTTCTTGTGGAACCGTAGCAGGGTTATAGGGGACCATGCCATTGGTCATGATCGGAGAGGGGGCGAGAGGCCGCGGGTGAACCGGTAGCTGTGCAAACCGCGGCTCCAAAATCAGCACAAAGTGCCCGCAAACATCCCTCCAAGACAAACGTGTAATTTTCCGATCCCCTTCCCCTTGCAAAATTGCCTGAGGGAAGGGAGGAAAGCAAGTGTAAGGCTGTAAAAATAAAGAGAACGAAACCACAAAATCAGGATACCACTACTCACAGCTTGCTTCAATCCCTGCGCCTGAGCAGAGGGCACTGTAATTTTCTGCAAAACACCCCTCGTCGATCCCGCTGCGGCTGCCACGGAGCTGCTTGTTTGCTGTGGACCCGAATTATCCACGTCCATATGCATGACCGAGAAGCTGCCCGTCCGCGGAGTCGTAGCGGATGAAGGCGAGCCGTCCGATGCGGATCTTCCACCGTTGGCTGCGGCGCCCGGAGGGGTGGTGGAGGCGGCGGGGGAGGATCAGCCTGCGAGGCCCATGGGACGAAATCAGTAACGCGAAAGCGCGAGCAGTGGCCGCCGGGCGAAGCGCTCGTAGGGCTGGACTCGACACGACTGAATTCAGACAGCCTGAACCTGTGGAATTGGGCCTGGGCCGAGGTGGGAGTGGCGGAATGCGGCGCGTTCGACGATGGCTTTGGTGACGGTTTGACCGAGCTGGGGGAGGGCCCGGCGGGTGAGGTTCCTGCTGAGCCAGCGCCATCACCTGATGAAGGGTTTGCCATAACGGGTTTGTAAGTCGATGTGTTTGGTGGGGGGGGGGGGGTTAAGATCTAGAAAAGAACGATAGAGTAAGAAAATCAGGTCAGAAGTTAGAGATTTCCACCCAAAATAAAGTTGAATTGACAATAATTAAGAGGGGGGGGGGGGTGAGGGTAGTGTTGTGAAGCTTGCTTGGCTATTGGGTGGTTTGGATGGTTTAATGGATGCGATGTGAAGGTGGCAGTGGGGGGGGGGGGGTGAGGGGACTAGTGTCAGCGGGGAGAGTGGGAAGGTTCAGACGCGTACAGGTGGAGGGAGGTAGACTTCGGTCAACCTAGGAGAACAGGTAGCCGCAACGTATGATAGAGGCAGTTAGAAGAAAAAACGAGGATGGCGGCGACGTGACGACCAGTCCGTCGCCTATCGCTGGAGGGTGAAGGTGAGAGGGAAACGATACCAGTCCAGGTATGATATTGTAACGTGCGAGAGGCAAAAAACAAAAAAATAATAAGAGAGCGTGTATGATATTCTCTTTTCTTTTTTTCTTTTCCTTCCTTTTACAAAGAAAAAAACGGAGGAAATAAGGAAGGAGAGAGAGTGTGTACCGCAGGTGTGAAGAGGGGAGAGAGATAGAAAGAAAGAGCTCAATTTCCCCTACCGGCCAACTAGCTCTCTAATGTTGTGATGGTGAGGATAATTATTAACTCTTCTTTGCCTTATTCCCTCCTTCTGCCCTTTCCTCTGAGCCCTCACTGCGTTTCAACTCGCCTCCTCACTCTTCTCCTTCGTCCTCTTCCTCCCGCTTCTCTCCTTCACCTCTTCTTCACTTCCCCTTTCCCTCGGATTCGGCCCTTTCTCTCCCTCGTTCAACACACGAATTCTCACGCCCCTTCGACGGGTAATCAGCCAAGCAAAAAAAAAAAAAAAAGACACAGCAAAGATTTCCTCACTCTCACTCTCACACACACTCTCCCCCTCCCCTTCCGAGCAAAGAAAAGGGAAATAAAATGAATAGATAAAGGTTATCCCCAAAGAATCGGCGCAAACTCTCCCTTTTACCCCAGGCAGCGTGACGGTTTTACTATGATTATTATTATCATTTTTTTTTTCTTCCCCCTTTCCCACTCTTCTATCCATTATAGACCTGATGGGGTGAGGGAGGGGAGCAGAAACAAACCTTTAGATGGAAGGGACGTATGATACTCGTGGATTGAAGCGGACAATGGAGCAAGATAGGGTACGGGTAGGCAGATACAGTAGATACGGGTACGATGGGTATTATAGCGTAGTCAATCGGAAGAGGGAAGCATAAAAATGTGGAGGGAGGTCGGGTCAGGTCAGGTCAGGTCAGGTCAGGTTGATGGGGAGGGCGGGGGTAGGGCGAGGAGTGAGTGATGAGCGGAGGGCGCAGCGGTCGGTCGGTTGGTCGGTTGGTCGGTCGGGAATGCGATGCCCTTCCATCTTCTCTTCCCTCTCTCCCTCTCTCCCCCCTCCCTCTCCACTCTCCCTCCACTCTCCACTCCTCCACCCCAACCAACCCAACCAGCCAGCCAGCCAGCCAGCCCATCACTGATTGATCCATCCACCCACCAACCACCCAACGGCAAAATGAATAAAAACGAAAAACTCGCTCTCGAGCTCCAAAACCGAACATTCCAACGGTCTACCGTGTAAACCCCACAAAGCGTGCTGCCTGTATCATACAAAAAGGAGATTGTACGTGTTGTTTGTGTGCTGGTATGCTTGCCAGTCCATACTTACCCTCCCTCGCACACCTACCGCTATCATGAGCAACATCTGCTACCCCTTGGGTCCCTTCACATGCAAGTCAAGTCAAGCACCACCCACACGCATGCCATCCCAGCCAGCCAGCTCTCGCATCCCTACCCACCGCACTCGGGCTATGTGCTCGAGTCGACTGTGTATGATATGATGGACTTCCGCATTCCCCAAAGTCCAGACTTCTCACTCCCTCCTTCGGGACGAGCACCCCTCCTCCAACTCCAAGCCTCAACCCTCACGCCCGGCAGGGGGGAAACATAGTCTACGGTACCGTAGTCTGCCGGTAGAACTTGAACTGTGCACCGCGAACCCCCGGCCTCCACCCGCCAAAAGGTTAACCTTCCCGCAGTGCCGAACAGAGGCGCCCTACTGTGCTTAGACCATGATAGTCTACGAGTACAAGTACCGGTATCCCACCCGCCGACTCTGACCCAGCGAATAAATAATATCTCGGCACGATAGCCCTGCCGGAACATTGATACCGGCACTCGCGTGCAAATTACATTTCAGCGCCCGTCGCACTGCCACCATTTGGTTCGCGGGCAACCACGGCACCGCACGATACCGTTAGCGAGAACGATTATTATTATTTTTGGACTGTAAGAGTACTTGTACCGCACAGGGTAGGGCAACGAACTGTCCCGGAATCCACGCGAGGACCGCTACGGCAGGATACCGGTAGGGTGTGTGTGTGTGCATTGGGGGAGGGTAGACTACCAAACTCGACGACCGTACCGCACAACGACAGTGGAATGAGGCAAAGCGGCTGTGATTGGCTCGTATCGTGGCCAGATTCGAACCACCCGGGGAGCGGTAATGTGCAGCCACTGTGGCAGGAGGGGCCGAGTGGAGGAGATGTTCACCTGACGTTTTTTCTTTTCCTCCTTTTCCCTCCTTTCCAGCCATGATTGGTGAATTGCTGTGGGTTGTGATACCGTGCCACCCACAAGATCCCAGCCAGTGCGGGTACCGTGCGAGTTTGGCGGAAAAGAGAAACCGCACCCAGGTTTTTTCGCACGAAATTTCGACCGTCGATTGGCTAGACTACCCTACCATAACTTTTATCTGCACAGTACTGTACGAGTACAGTACTCGTACCGGTACCAGAAGCGACAGCAACAAAGTCCCTCCTCCAGCGCCCAATACAATCCTCGTACAAGGGGCGGCCCGCATTGGGGGGGGGGGGGCTTTATCACCACACCATGAATTTTTCCGATTTTGCTGACAGTCCCGAATACCGACAGCGACATACAGATGTGAACGTGACCTAGTCTGGTCCGTCGCTTTGCATAATCCTATACAGAGTCCGCAGTCCCGGCACAGATCTTGACCTCCCATGCTCTTTCTGAATCTGGACCTGCATGAGACTTGGACAACATGTGGATATCAATTATAATAAACCAGTTATTTATATTGAGAACATTGTGGATATTCTTCAACAATTTTATCCGAATTGAATCCCATTTTGAGGTTTCTCTACCCAACTTGTTCAATTTATTAAATAATACAATAAATTCTCATTAATAGGAATAGTCAAATGACTCTCTTAGACTATTATTGTAGATGCAAGTGAATTTGTATTAGAATAGAGCAGTATGCCAAAGCTTGTTATCAATACTGAATAGGATATTTGTATTTAATCATATAAAAGAGCAGGTCTTTAAAGACTAAAATTAGAACTCAAAATAGAAATATATAATAAAAAAACAAGAATGAAGCTGCCTGAATATTAAAGGTAAGAAGTAGTATACTAGAATTCAAACTACTTAAATTAGAAAAGTAAACTAAAATAATATTAATTAGTATTGTAAACTCTAACTCCTATATTATCTACAATGGAAAAAAAATATTTCCATATCAGATATATGTTAAGAATCCTATCAGATGCTAGGATGCGACAGGTAACAATTCTTTCTTAGTAATAAGGAATAGTTCTTAGGTTGTTACCTATATGGCATATGATAGTCAAGTCTTAGACTTCTATCATATCATGCTTATTTCCTTAACTTTCTTAAGTCTTCGATAAGACTTATTATTTGTATATAGGAGGAGAAACAGTTCTCAGACTTCATAAGGTAGAGTAGAGAGTATATGGATGTTTTATTGTAAAATACATATATAGGAAATAACTTAGAGGATTGTGTGAAGAACTTATCCTTCAGAAGTCTAATAACCCTTTATATACTTACTCTTTATTCAGCATACCTCATACTTTACATAATATGAACCCTATGACTTACAACTGTAAGTTATATGAGATTTCTTAACAAGTTGCTATACAACATGCCTTTAATAAATTATAACATAATAATTAAGTTAGGTAGGCAACTTGTATTACCTGGGTAAAATCCATGACTCATAATTCAAGTTGTATACAAAAATTATAATATTGTATGACTTATAACTGTGAGTTACAAACACATAAACATAATAACCTAGGACTTACTAATACTTACTATATGAAATCCAATATACCTATGGCTCAGAATCCTGAGCCCTGTAAAATCTGTCTTACTTTGTGCTCATTTGTAATAATATACCAGCCTGGCACCTAGACACAACTGGGCTGAATACTGTATCTATTGTGTCCTGTATATTCTGAACTTGTATACCATGTCTGATTCTGTTCTAGGCTTAGATACTATATTTAGTTGTATCCTGTAAATTCTATATTCTCAAGTAGTAAGTAGTTCTATACTCAGATTAGATCCTATACTAGCTTGCATTAGCAAAAATAAAAACTTATATCATATACTTCTGGTACTACATCAGATGGACTGGATACTCAGGACATAAACTATTAACTAGGATGCAAGACAGCAGCCACCAAAACTCAGAATACAATCATCCTTAGAGCCAGAACTCAGGATCCAACCCAATAATGCAGGTATTTTCAAAATACAAGTAAGTACCACTACTATTTACAGGATACAATACCAGGATTAGACCTTGTAGCCTGGGTCACATATTATGTAGATTCTGAAACCTTCCAAATAAAGAATATTTCTAGTCATATTGGTTCTATAATATATAGTATCGAAAGAAACCCCCTCTCCCCCCAACCTTATACTAGTACTATAAATCTAGTGTAAACTACTTGTGTCACAGGCAATAACTTCCTTAATATTGGTATTAGGTAGACTTTCTATACACTATTAGAAAGCTGACATCAAGTAAAACCAGAACACCAAGTATCAGGTTCTGCATATAAGAAACACCTGTAGAATCTGGTATTAAAGTT